AGTTGTGAACTTGATAGTATTTCTTAAACTCCTAACTTGCAAAAATAACTTTAAAAAGTCAAGTCGATATGCGCATGGTAAATTTCTGGCATTGCATACGCAAATCGTTTTTACCGAAATCTCTCTCGGAGATTTTCTGACTTCGAAAAGGAGAGGAGCAGTGTGGCGACTTAAATTACATGAGTGGTTGAGAGAAAAACACATTCGTATTCGAACTGGCCTGTTGATTACATTTCGAGCATATCAAATTGATTTGCCCTCTTATCAAGTCAAATTGATACCACTTAACATCGAATCGATCATCGTTTCAAATCAAGTTGTATTTGGGTATACTATCCCTTATTTGTTTGCCTATCGTTTAACCGTTTCCCCAAAGAACTTAAGCTTCACTAATTTCCTGCTCGAATTCCTTCACTTTGGTTTTTAAATTGAACACTAGCCCTTTCCCCCTTCTAATTGCTTGTTTTACGTCCTTCTCTTCAGCACAGCACCGAATTTGTAGCTGTTTTGCTTGTCTCAGAAGGGAGAGGTGAGGGGTAAAAAAAACGAGGAAAACAGAGGATAAATTTGCATGAAACAGCAGCAACATCCCCGATTCGAAATTCTGCTGCAACGTGCGTTGCGATAAATCAAAATTCTGCAGCCAAGGCAAGAGAGTTACCCTAACCACTACGTCGGCTTCATCCTTTTCAAAGAGGCGAACAAGGGAAATGCATTGGCCATGCAAACACTGCTGATTGTGTAAACAGCAGTGAGAAGCAGAAGTCTGAAGAATTCGAGGGAATGGGGAATGGGTAGCGGGTGCTACCACTTTCTGCACAACAATGAAATTGAATTTCAATGCCATCTCATCTGCCTTATTGTTGTCAGGCTTGGCAATAATTGTTCGGGCTCTCGGCACGTCTGCATGTGTGTACTGCTCCTGCTGCTTGAGACTCCTCACAGCATTCCACGCTATTTGCCATCGATTGCATCTTTTTACCAGCCACCCGAAACAGGGAACAACAGGGAAAACAGTCGCATCCTGGAAACCATTATCGCCGAAAGCAGCGACAGCGACAGCCCGCTCCCAATTCCCATTTGCAGTTGCCATTGCATTTGGCATACGTGTAAATCGTAAATTTCCGTCCACAAAACGAATGGTAACCGGACAGGAGGAGCACGAAGGAGCTCCTTTCCCCAGTTCACAGGGCAATAGCTCATTGTGGACAGAACCAGGCGACAGCGGCGGCAACAGAAAACAAAAGTCACTTCCCCGGTAATGGAATAAATATCCGTGAGGACCATCTTTCTGCTGTGCCTCTGTGACCAACATGGGGTATATATGTGGGGATTGTCCAACATTTTGCGGCTATTTATGGGACGAACTTTATGGTTGGCAATTGAAAATGAAAATAAAGGTACGGAGACGGAATGCATTGTTGGGAGATTTATTTTCCAGCAGAGATAAAATTTTAATTTCGGTATGCGCAGTTTTTGTGGTTCGAGTCAAGTGTCTTTTATTATTGAAATTAATTAAACGCAACTATTCTGCAGTGTTAACATTACATTACAACTATTAAGTGCTTGGTGCGTACAATATTTTCCATTGTTTTGTATTTTATAAGCGGAAATCTGTTGAAATTTTAATATTTAAATTCAGAATTTAAAGCTATATATTTTTAGACTTACATTTGAATTTTTTTGCTCAATTAGGTAGTCCAATTTATTTACTTGTTTATTATTTATTATTGAAATTAATGAAACGCAACTATTTTGCAATGCTTGCATTTCATTACAACTATTGTGTTCCTTGTCAATAGAATATTTTCCTTTGTTTTGTATTTTTAAGCAAAAAGTTTGTTTAAATTTTTATACTCAAATTCAGAATTTAAAACTATAGATTTTTAAATTAAATTGTATTTTAGCTTTGGCTCATATCAATTTCGGTTTGCAACATATCATGTTCTTAAGAAAGAATCCTTGACTTAATAGAATTTCAATTTGAATGGTTCGAATTTCGCTTACTGATTTCCCAGAAATTGTTATTCAAAAATCCAATTTCTCTGCATCAATGCACAAGAAATCCCCCAGCTCATCGCCATTTTTGTATATTTTGCATATTTGTCACATTGAGGATGACCAGCTGTGAGTTGAGAGCTCCCCAGCATCCTGCTCCTGGTTGGTTACCTGTATTCACTGCTCCTATTCCCGTGTTCGATTGAGCCAAGAAGGAAGTGCGAGACATGGAAGCTTTTATGACATTGCACTCAGTGATGCGGATGCCGTGGAGTGGATGCTGGCTGTCTTTTATTGTCGGCGGTGTATAATTTTCACACTCCTGGTGCGGATGCGGATGCAGATGCGGATGCGGATGGCAGGGTTGGTTGTTTGTGCTACTATTGGACCTCCGGCGGTTTTCCCACCCCATCGCGGCTGATTTGATTGCACTGAGCTTTGGTTCTTGGTTCTCTGTTATTTTTGTCCTCCCTATCTTTTTTTTTTGCTTTTCCTCCGTTCAGCATTTTGATTATGTTGCAGCATTTTTGCATCATAATACTCATAAATATTTATGAGGCAAGTTGTCTAAACAGAAAACGGACGTAAAACACCACTTGCACAATCTTTCTCATGCATTTAAAGCAAAGCCAATATCAAATACAATCAGGCAAATGTCTGGGCCGAAGCTTAGGCAAATGAGAGCCTATGATATGTGGTCGGAATTGAAATGAAAAATGAAAACACAAAATCACTTTGGCCGCACAGAGAGAGCTATTGATTGCTGCTAAAATACATTTAAACGAACTGTTTTAATATGCGGAAAGTCATTTCGTGCACCGAAAAAACTGTCGAAATAAATTGAAAACGTTGGCCAGCAAAATATTTGAAATATACGACCGACATACGGCAACGATATCAATTTGCCTTCAATGTGTGCTCACAAAAAAGAAAGTAAAAACAGAGATTATTTAGCACTTTGTTTTTGAACGAATGACCCCAAGGAATATTCGATTTTTTGCTGATAAAATATGTTTTGATTTGCAGACATTTAGTTGGCAGTTAGTTTTCCCTGTTGGACCAAGTTTTTTAAACCAGAATGACAATTTGATTAGTTTGGAATAAGTTTTAGTTATTTTTTATTTTTTTGCTGCAAAACTTTGCTGCGACAGGTTTGTGGAAAATTCCGTGCAGTTTTAATGACAAGTTTTGTGGGTAAAACTTTGCCAATGATTATGCTTCCTGTGCTAAAGTCAATTAGTTGGGGGAATATTTGCCACCAAATGGTTTATTAATATTCAATATGGACAATCCAATGTAATTCGCTATTAATAACATTTCATTTGTATAATTGATTATAATTATAAAATAATTGCCTGTCGCTGCTATTAAGTTTTAATACAATTGGCCCGCATGGCGTATGTGTGATGTCGGAAAACGTTGCATACTTTCGGGATCCGCATAAGTCTTGCGAATCCACACAATTCACGCATAATATCTTCTGCCGAGACAAGTGATGCATTTAAACATAACAAGCAACAGCATGCTCAAGTCTCAAAATTTCTGAAACAGCTCGCCGACTTCTTAGTTTTCTTTGGCTCAACTGTTGGCTTGGATTTTGGGGGATTGTCGGAAACTTGTCTTCACTTTTGACTTGGTTCTTTGTGCGAACTGAAACTGCAACTACAACAAATGACTCATTTTCCACGCACTTCATTCTACTGTTGCAAAAGTTTTCGCTAGTCAGTCGTCGTCTCTGCGAAAACCAAACAATGCCGACGCGGGAAAGGATGAGCAATCAAACTCGTTTCCACTTCTGACTTCCTGATACAAACATACATATACACTCGTAGTTTTGGGATATAGTCTGGATATTTATCATAAATTTGACTGCGCAATGCTTTTGCTTTGATGCGGCTTCCTTTGGCTCAGTCCGCCTTCTCATATCTCTGGCAATCGCCTTGATTCATAAATTATTTCATATTTCATTTCCTCTGCGTGATGCAACAAAAAGAAATGCTAAAAAAAATAAATGCACACTGACAACTGGGAAACACGCAAATACAGAATGTACAGAATCACTGTTCGCCTCTCCAAAAGGACTATATTTCAGTCTCTGCCCCCCGGCGATGCAATAAAATGTCTGCTTCTGCTGATTTTGTCTGCTGTTCTTGTCCAAGCATTGGCCAAAGTAAACATAATAATAATAATTCCAACTGCAACTTCAATTTTCCTCTCTAGGATACTTAAACATGGGTGCAGAGGGTGTAAAAAAATAGAAAGTGATAAAATGAGGGCAATTGAGGAAACTCAGTGGAGAATGCGCAAAAAGTCAGAAGTAAGAAAAGCTGTATATTAACCAAAATTATGAACTATCATATTACTTATTTTATAAAGTCACAAGTTATTAAAGTACAAGGTAATAGTAATTGTAATACCACTAAAATGTTTTAAAAAAGGTTAATAGAAATTTGTATATAAAATCTTTATTATTTTATATTTAGTTCGTACTCATCTATTTTTTTCTACATTTAACAATTTTAATCAAATTTAACTTAAATAAAATGAATTATTTTTTGTGTTGTTACTTCATTTTACTGTTGTGAGTAACTATTATTTACTTACAATTTATAAATACAGGTTAGTTGAGAATTGTTAAACTGCGTTATATTTTTTAGCTTCGGCACTCAAACAGATTCTTAATTGGTTTAAATTGTTTCCAATTTTTGAAAGATAAGATTTCATTTACCTAATTGGCATGCTAGCGCCACTTAATGTAAACATAAGTTTCTACTTGACATTAAATCATTTATTCAAATAAAATATAAATTAATTAACTGCTTTATTTCTTAGAAGAACAGTAAATATTTTTACATTTTTCCTCAATGCTTAAATTATGTATAAATGTTTTTTAATACAAATATCCCACATCTTTTTTTGAAATTGCACTAAAAAGTAATTGTTTTCGTGACCTAGCACAAAATTATGCCGACACTTACAATTCAAGAGCAAACAATTCACAGTTTTCAGTTCTTGACGAATAATGTTTATTTTTCTAGGTAATCAAGATAACACACTTCACGTGTATTTTTACAACTAGGGCGTTCACATGATTAATAAAGATTATTGTTATTTAAGGGCAAGTAAACTTTACGCAGATAAATACTATTTTTGATTTTGTTTTTAATAAACCGTTGGTGTTTCTTTTTTTGTGTCAAGCAATTTACTCCTCTATTGTAACGCCAGTTTTGCAGAAGAACCAAACGTCTGTATAGCAAACACCTCCTTTGGTCCGGGAAGCCCAATAGGCGTCCTGAACATTCTCGGAAACATACTTGGGCCTGCCAGTTGGCACGAAAAACCAAAATTCATAGGTGGGATTGTACGACAACACCTTGCGTTCCAAAGCCTCCGAGCTTAAGGCAAAGTAATTAAATTTATTAAGGCGAGAATGAATATATATATTGAATATTAAAAAGGGTTACCTTTGCTGGCTGGCTGGCAGCAGCAGGATAATTGCAATTATTATTGCAGCCGAGTAGTTCATGTCGTAGGTGTCGGGCTGACTGATTGCGAATGTGAGTTATTTGTGCTTCCACCTGCTATTATTTACGAGCCACTCGAGGTTATCGCCTCGGTTGGCTGTTGAGTGTGCGATAAGGTAGTGTGAAGTCGGAATGGCAGCTACAAAAAAAGGAAATAAAACCGAAAGTTGCATGCAATGCCAAGCCAAAACGGAATAGAAATGAATTAGAGCTCACCTCCGGCTTTGCCAGCCAGCATGTTTTGGCCAAAAGTGAAGGATAAAGCCGGCTAAAAAACCCCCAAGTGTGATTTTTAGTTTTATCTTCTGGGGTTTTAAACCCGTAGAAGAATTTTTTAAATCGGAGCATTTATTGAAAAGTTATAAGCCAATAATGGAATTCAAGCAGTGGCTACATGCTTATTCGATAGTCGAGGTACTCTCTCTCTCTCTCTCTCCTATTTTAAGGGTATTCTGCAGTCAAATTAGCCATTCCTAGTCAACTGTTTTTAGTTTGTTTCTTGTGTCTACCCTTTTTTCCGGCCAAGAAGGTACAATTTATTATACAAACACTACGAATAAACACATTATGAGCGTAGGGACAGCAACAAAAGGGTGATGTCTTCCCATTTTCTTCTCCGGAATTGGGTAAATAAATAAACAAAGGCAAAAATGGGAGCAAGTCAAATAATGACCAGGAAAAGACATAGTCTATAGTGTGTATGTATGTGCGGTATATGAATGGGCAAACAATTGAGCCAAAACCAACAAGAGTCCAAACAATAACATCAAATGCAATCGTAGACAATGGCAGGCACGTTTTGTAAATTTTTGTGCAAGCAAATATGTGAATATTTATCTTTGTCCGACAGTCACGCCCACAAAAGCTATCGCTGCCCACAAAGAAAGTCAAGTGAAATTCATAGTTTCCCTTGCAGTTTATTATTTCCAGTAAAGTTTACCCTTACCTGTTCTTTTCAAGGTATTCTGCTGCTCTTATTTTTGTTTTAAAGCGGTCAGAAGATGGTTTACTTTACTTTCTGGGACAATGGGTTGTCTGTCATTCGTCATGATTTGGTGCGGCCTTGCATGCAATAGCATAATAAGCCAAGCGAACAGCTCCACACTTCTCCACTCCACACCACTCCGCCCACACTTTATCCTTCATCCTTCTCGTGCGGCAGTCAACACTCATACGCCTCGTTGCACGAGTTGCTGCACGACTCGCTTCATTGTTGTGGCATATTGTTTCACATTTTGAAGCCGCCCAACCACAGGCAACAGGCAACTATGCACGCAGAATAAAAGATGATCTTAAATTAGGATCATCAATAAGAATGCATTAAATAAGGGAGATTTATATTGAAGATTTAATTTTATTATTTATCAAAATGTAAATGGAAAGTTATAATAAATATGTTAAAAATTAAAATAAAATATTCCTTGGTTAAAAAAGATATGTATTTATATGTTAAATATATTGTTCTATTATATTAAAATTATAAATGAATTTAATATTGTTTTGAAAATATCAAACTAAAAAAACTTTAAACTTAAAAAAATAAAAAACCATGTTTCATATTAAAATGATAATAATTTTCGATGATTATATCGTAGAATGATTAAATTCAATTAAATTAAATTAAGTTACAATACAATTATTTTATCTAAATCCATTATTCTCCGAGTGGAGCCACCATGGATATCTGAGAGAATTTCGCAGCGAGTGCACACATATTCAAAAACGAACAAACGTGCCCGGCATGTGCCCAGAGTCCAGAGTCCCGGAGTCTGCAATCCAGAGACCCGACCGACCACTGACACGACTCCGGCGTGGAGTTTTGAGATGCCAGACAGGATGGTATGTGTTGGGCCGGCCAACTGCCGAAAATAGTTGCATATAAAGTGCTTCGAATTTAATTAAATTATAATTGGACACTGTGTGCAGCTGATGGCCAGACAATGTGTAGTTTAGTTTTCAGTTTCAATTACAAACAAAATCCCAATTAAGTTACATTTTCGGTGTCCGGTTATGACAACACCCAGACGGCAGAGAGACTCCTTGGCCCTCGAAACACTATCCTATGGCATATGGGTAATACGTTAAGTGCTTCGCCTGAATCCACGGCAATATTAACAACAAGGAGAACGGAGATCCCCAAGGGGCACACAGAACGCTTAGCAGATTAGCCGGGGCCATTCTTTTCCTTTTTGATTAAAGTGCGAACATTTACCAACAAAAAGCAGAGCTGGCTGACCAGGACAATGGCCGAAAGCCAAATCAAATCAGCTGAAAACACGAAACAAAACGGACCCAGAAACGGGAATAAAATAAAAGCATACAAACAAATAGAAAAAATGCTGATGGAAAAATACAAAAAAAAGGACAAATCCGATGTTTTCCCTTCTTTTTTTTGACATTTCAATCAGCATTTTTCAAGCGACACATAAACACAAACACATAAAAGAAAACGTTAAGGAAATCGCATTATAGGAAAACATTTGACCATTTTTCATGTCCTGCCAAAACAAATGTCAAACGAAAATTGAATTGCGGCAAAAAGATGACAGCGCCAGAACGGGCAGTAAATGTTCCAAGCTGGAATATCCGCATTAAATTGTATTTACCGGGCGTATGAGTAATTTCATTGGAAATCCACTTTTTGCCCAGCATGATGTTCGCGACGGAAAAGCTGCGAAAAAAAATTAAATAATATTATTAGTCAATTAAAAAAGAGCAACAGAATTTGATTACAGGTTGCGGTCGCATGAATGTCAAAGCGGGTGAATTTTTTTGTATTCCGCTCAGTTGATCCTGTTTGCCTTAAATAAATTCTCTCCTCACCTATCCTGTTCCAGTTTAATATTTAAATTCCTCTGACAAACCGCAGACAGACAGCTTTACCTTATCTGTCAGCCTCAGACCTTTGATGCCTGGGCATTACCTATGATTCCCGGGACTTCCGCTTAAAGCTTTATGCAAATCCCGACCGGAAATACATGAAAAATGGCCAAGGTCCGCGGAAATGCTTAGCATGCAACCACCATCCACCCACGAAACAGTAAATGTTGGGGGCGCAAAAAAATGGTCTTTCATTTAAATTTACGCGCCAACTTGAGTACAATAAAAGCAAATGTGAAACTGTTGCCCCGTAACGAACAGCAGCGCCAGCAAGTAAAATGTAAAGTCCAAAAGTCCACTTAACAAGAAAATTGTTTCCATGAGCTCGCTTTTTTTGTGATTTTTTTTTTGCTCTGTGTCCTATGCATTAAAACCATTTCCAGGCCCTCGCTTATTATTAGCTCTCTGTGTGTGTGGGTGAAGGTAGAGCCATACAAAATACTTTGCACATTTTTATGACCGTGACAGTGCGACGGAGGAGCCAAGGAACCCACGGAAACCCCTCGCCATTTCCCATTTTCCATTTCCAGCCTGCCTGCCAGCCACCTCCATTATGTCACACCACTCACCCTCACCTCCTGGAAAACCCAAACAATTTTCCCCAGAGTTTATGAGCGTGAAAAAATGTTTACTGGTTAGAGCTTCATGCTTTTTGTTTCGCTTCCTATTTTGCCTCGCTTTTTTTTTGTATTTTGCGAAATAAAGTCACTGTTTTATGCTGCAGGAAAAAAAGGTAATTAAAATGTTTTTTTTCGTAGACCAAAAGCGAAGCATGTCACGGTGAGATAAAGTTCTTCATTTTACGCCACAAAGTTTGCACCTCTTTCAGGGGATAACACATTACATAATATTAATGATCAGAGTTATATAGTTGTGATGTTGCTATCTTCCGTCGAGAAATTTCTTTTACATTTCGCTACTTTCTATTTTGTAAATTCATAACTCAATGTCAAGGTGGAAAAGTGTAAAAATAAGAACATGGACATTGATTTCCTTCTTATCACTCGTTTCAAGCCATTTCACTTGATTTACTTCGTTTGAGTCCCAGACTGATTTCGTTTGCGGTCTGTGTTTCAGTTTTGGTTTTGGGTTTGGAATTGGGTTCGAGTTCGGGTGGGATTTGGGTCTTTCCTTTCGCATTAGGCATCATCAAGGTCCCCCCATTCGAATGACCGTTTCACCGCATCCTCATCAGTTGCGCTTCATTGTGTTTTATTCGTTGCCGCTGTTATCGCATGTTAACACTTCATGGCAAATCCTAGCCAGCCTGATGTCCTTTCGCATCATCATTGGAATGACCTTTCGTTTTCGGGGGGCGTGTAGAACATATAGAAGGACTGTGTGAATCCCGCACACGCTTAGTTAGTTTCTGCCACACGCTTTGCGTGCAAAATGTCAAAATACATTTTACTCGGATTTATGGTCACTGGACGGCCACCAACTCCTCCGCATCCTCGTCATATGTATTTCTATATATGCTTGTGGGATTTGTGCTTGTCTTTGGCTATTTTTGGGGATTTACACGCTTATCACACAGAAACAGAACACACAAACACATTCTCTGGATGAAATGAAAATATTATGCTACATTTCATTAAAGGAGCACACATCCCTCCATTCAAACATCCTTGAATGCTTTACAGCCACTTAAAATAGATTAGCTTTCAACGTTTCGGGCTCTTAGGCAAAACAAAACTGACTAAAAAAAGGCAAAACGAATGAGGAAAATAATAAAACGCCCAACCATAATTCAAGTCGGGCTTTCCTTCGTCCGCAGATGTAATAGAAAAGCGATTGAAAACATAAGCAAGCGTCAATGATATAATGTCGGAAATCAGAAATAGTTATACGTGACAGGTCTCGGGATGACAAGTTCGAGGACCCTGAAGAAGAAAACGACACTTTGATAAATGAAATGGCAAACATTTGAAAGCCAACAACTTCTCAAACCAGAAAAAAGTGGATACCAGTGGAATGAAGACATCTCAAAAGAAGTAGAAAGTGCGAAAGGAAAGCCATGATAAGAGAGTACTTGCTTTTCGAAGGGAATCAATTTATTTCCCTTTTTGAAGCCGGAAATCTTTAAGTCCCAGCGATTATGGGCCCTGAAAGTGAGAGACCTATCTGTTCACTTCATGGCCAATCCACAACCGTCCATAATTCATTTCATTCGCCATGGCTTCTTCAGAGTTATAGCAGCGTTTGGCCCCTTTTTTTTCGAGAGCCTGAGCCTGAGCCTTCATCATCATCTCACATCGCAGTCTACGAAAAGGCCAAACTAAAAATGCTCTTTCGCTCCATGTGGCCCCATCATCGCAATCTGTGTCCTGCTGTTGCCGCAGCTTCCACAGCTATTATTGTTCCTTCAGCTGGCTGTTGTTGAGCCATCTCGGTGCTCAAACAAAAAAAGGGGCAAAAATATTAGCTGCCTCTCAATCGTTCAGCTGAAGAGAAAAAAAAACCCTTGGAAAAAAACCAAGAAAAGGGGTCAGTGGTGGGACGAGCAACAAAAAAAAAAAGAATATAAAATGGTTTATTTATGCAAATTGTCAATGGTTTTTGCTCTTCAAAAGATAGACGACGAGCCGTGAGGCCCGGCTGCTTTTAAGCGAATTGCCTGCCAACTTAGTGATAGACCTTTTTCGTGGCAGAAACAGCAGCAGCAGCTAAGCCTATAATTGAAATGTATTGGATCTGCCGAACTGGACCCATTGTGTCCACCGGTTGAAAACCAAACCAAACAAGTGCCTTAGGGAGGCAATTGGCCTGGGCAAATGAGCAGCGCACAAAAGCAGGCCATAAAATATTTACATTGCTCGGTAATAGCGTGACTTGGCCTAAAACCAAACCCACACACGCACAAACAATCGGGTTGCGAAGGGGTTTTGGCATGCCAAAACTTCATAAACCTTGCGTTCAACGCAATCTACACAATTTTCATTGTAAATTTCAAAACGCCACCGCAATTTCTGCTGCATATTTGTTTAAACGATAATCAAATGCAGAACTCTACCTCCATTTATCACCTATGTGTGTGGATAATATTTTTTACCTTTTTCCATTTTTCAAACGCCGTTTCGGGTCCTAGTACAGCTTTATCTACATCCCACAAGGGGGCTTTGGGTTTTCTATTTACCTCTGCCCTGGCCCGAATGACAGTTTGAATAGCCCTTTGGCACAGGACATTTTCTATATCTGTCTGCGGATATTTGTATGTCCGAGTGCCTGTTGACCACCGGAATGGTCCAGCCATCGTCAAAGCGGATGCCCTCAGCATTTATAGCTGCTAGCCAATGACGGTCTGAACCATTAAATGCAGCCAAATGTGGTTTCTGAGCGCATTTAGACGATAATAATTGCTGTCAGATGGTGTCTGTCTCTGGTTTTGGTTATAAAAATAACCAATTAAATATTTATTATTATTATTTGCTTTTATTATGATTAATTGGTATTTAGTAAATTAAATACGATTTTTAGGAAGCGAAGAATAATAGCTTTTAGGACCGTTTGCCAAAAGAAAACTAAAAGAAGAGGGTATGACTTAGTCGAGTTACTCTTTTCTTTCATAAAACTTATGTAGAAAATCTTATAAGTTTTACCCGCTCATTAAGCCGTTGCTAATTTTCCCTTGCAAGCGATTCGTTTTGCCTAATGACTCTAAGCGCTTGGGCCTTAGTTTTGTTTTGAGAACACAACCAGCAGTTCACACACATTCTCCATGTTGGATCGTCAAATAACTTGGAGTCTTTTGCAGCTGTTTTTGCTGCTGGGTTTTTCCTCAGGAAGTTCCCTAAGTGGTCGTGGGTGAGCGAATCAAATAGCTACCAAAACAAGTTTAAAAACGGTGTTTCTTCCTGTTTTTATTCCATCAGCTTGTGGGGAACACGAAGAGCGAGCCTGTTTACCCTGCACCGAACCTAAATGTTCACATCCCTATATGAATGAACCGCAATGCATTTTCTTCAAAAAGTGCAAATTGGGATGTGGCTGCAAGTTTGGATACGTGCGCGATGACCTGAGTTATAAATGTATTCCCTACATGAAATGCAAAATTCCAGTGCGACAGATAAATATTCCAATTTTATAAAGAGGTAAATTATTAAAATAGTAAAACTAACTAACTAACTTATGGTCCTAAAGTTACTTACTTTTCAACAAAATTCTTTAAATTTTTTCTGTCCAAAATACAGTCATATGTACTGATAAATTATAAAATAAAAGAGTGAATGTTTTAAAATATATCTTTTTGGTGTTACAAGACTTCAATTAATTTAAAATGTGTTTACACTAAATAAGAAATAAAGAAAACTCTAAGATCTTCGAAGTTTATAGCTGATGCCCAAGCTCTCCAGTATTATTGTCCTTGTCAATTTACATGCGACGAGATTTTTATGGCCCTGTACTTTGTGTTTCGTTTCTATTGCTGTTTCATCCACTCCATTTTCAGCTCTCTTTCACTTTATGACAACAACAACAACAACAATACGAAATTGTATCTTGGGAATTCTATGTTTTTAGCAGCGAAAGTTTTATTGTTGATTTTTACGGTGCTCGAGATTTACGACTCTGTCGGTGTCCTGACCCCATTTCAAGCGAACTTTGCTTGGTTTTCGTGGAGCTGCCGCCGCCAGTTCATAAAGCATACAATCTTAAATCTGTGCCCCCAGATTTTACTTCTTCTTCTACCACATAAATATTAATTTAGCCGCAGTTACTTTCGTTCTTTTATTTTTTTTTACGTTTCTTTCACTTTAGCTCTTGCTTTTTTTGATATGTGACATTTGTTTGCTTGCACTTTACTTTATGAATGGAAATTATTGCTCTGCATTTTTATTTTTGAGCTTGTTTTTATTGCTGGCTGTCGTTATGTTCATGCCGAAGTTAAATGGCTTCTTTGTTGACTTTTATGAATGTAATCAGCAGCAAAGTGATTGCAAAACATGCATAAATAGGGCAAAAGTAATTGACATTTTATGAAGACAACCTGTTTCGTTCTCCTTAACTTATAATGTAATTGTGTAAAACCAAACTGGCAATGTCCCCAAAAGAATAAAATAGAAAATTATAATAATTAATTATAATCATTTTGTTGATTAATGTAATCATATTTCGAGATACACATCGGAACTGAATGTTGTAATCTTTCAACTAGGGACTTACATCCTTTTGGTTAGCTGCAAAAATGCATTTCCGATTTATTTCGTCATTATTAACTAGTTTTAAATCCAAACTCAGTGAATATTTGGACATGTAGTGCCCATCAATAATTTAGCATATTTTATAAATTTCTATTGGCTCACAATATGATTCCCAATAGAATTGACCGAAAAAGCATGGACAACATTTTGCATTTCCGGTAAGCTGAATTAAATGTTAATACTTCCGCCGTGTGTGTGCGTTCAAATGCGCATAAATATCTAACAAATTTAGCACAAAATGGCTGTTATTATATTATTTCACAAGACTGGTCACGGGTTTTCGGGGAAAATTTGGTGGAGAAGCATAAAAGCAATTAAAGCCCAGGCAAAGTGCTCACACATTGGCGGCAGGCATAAAACTGTTATTATTATTATATTTTGTTTTTTTTTTGTGGTGGCTGCTGTGGGTTTTTTGGGTGAATTCCATTTAAGTTTCGTCGCCGAAGCACCGAAAATAAAATTAAATTACCCATTAGTGGTAGATTTTCGTCTCATTTTTTTGCCGCCCGAAATGGTATTTAATGCGAATTTACGTGCTTCATATAAATTTATTATGTTTTAATTTATGGCTCGTCATTAAGCCGGTGTTTCGCTCGCCTTTGCTAGCAGAAATATTTCAACGTGATGAAATAACAAGTTTTTTTTTTAAAGCTTACTTGAAGTGCCAGTAACAGACTTAAGCCACTAAACAACTCGACTACAATTTATCAGAAACAAACAAATCGAACAAGAGTCGCAAAGGGGATTACAGGAAAGAGTGCTTGAGGTTGTCTTGTCCTTTTTGCCCTCCCCCATATAATCGAATCGTTGCTCAGTGGTGGCCACAATAAATTCAAAACTTTTCGCCCCCCAGGGGAGCACACCTCTTTTTTTACATCTCTCGCTTTTCTGGCCATTTAAATGGCCAACTTTTATGGAAACAAGCTTACACGCATTCTGGCTCCCACACACACACAGTTTACTGGGGAAAGGACTTACTGATAAGAAGGAGAGAAGAGAGGACCATGACAACAAACCCATGGAGCTCTTAATTCCTTATGGCCAACAACGATTCCGCCCGCCTGCCAATTGTTTAATGAGCTGAGTTTTCCTCGCTTGCTTTTCCCCACTTTTCTTGTTGTTGCGTGTTTTGCTCATTTCGGTTCTACTAAGCAGCGGAAATTGTCAGATAAGAGAATTTCACAAAAGTTGCTCATTTTAATCGAGAAACTTTTGTCTAGTTTGATTGCCAAGAACTATGTATCCCTGACTTGTGGACAGCTGAGGTCTCGTTTTATCTTTTATTGAGGCCTGGCTGTCGAGAAAATTGACAAATAATGATAACAACACGGAGAAGCTGCTGGGCGCAAAACTTATTCTAATTATAAAGTTTGCCAATGCAAAATAGTCGGCTGTCTAAAAATGTTTTTAATATTTCTGCAAAAGTGATAACAGCTGTGGGTAGCAACTTGCTACTAGCAAGGTTACAAGTTTAATAACTGCCTTATTATTAGACATCGGATTTTAGGTGAAATCGTTTTTTGTAAATACGATTTAAAGCCACATTTGATTAGTTACAAATTTTATTTATTAAGTTATAATTAGATTTAGGTCAAACTTAATTGAGATTTTTGTAAAAAATTTTTAACTACTCAAATGTGGCTTTAAATCATGTTTAAAAAAAACGATTTCACCTAAAATCCGATGTCTACTTATTATATATTTTCACCACATGATTTAACAGATGTCGCTTGTTTAGTCAAGATTTTTATATGGAAGAAAACCTACCATGAATCTAGTTAGAAACATCCTTAAACCAATAAGAATTTTTTATACTTCAAAATCTTCCCCTAAATCATATCCTTCCGAATTTCTAGCAATAACTTTCTCAGCCGCAAAATATGCTACAAAATATTTAATATCCTTTAAGCTTCTGTGTATATAATGTAGGTTTACACATTCTTTTTACCGCCATTAATATTGCGGCAAGTATATATTAAATATCTGCAAACATCTCATATCCAATTTAATTGTTGTGAGTGCAATGAAAAGGGGATAAACCCTTGTTCGATATTAATAAGCCTTGAGTACGTGCCATAAATAAAAGTGCACATTCCGGCGAGCAAATAAAGTGCTGCCGACAAAGAAAATGCGAAGTGAGTGGGAAAATTTCACAAGCCTTCACTCTGCATTAAATGAAGTTGCGAGTAGTTGGAGCGCCCACCTGTGCGGGACCAAAAATATGCATTTAATCCTGATGTGCATTTAATTAATGCCGATGGTAAACACTTCTGCACACACTCGAACCTTTTTTTCAGCCAATAAATTTACTTTAAGGCCTTTGGCGGTATTAAAAATTAAAGATGATATGGCGTAAAACATTTTTCAACTCTGGGTTCATTGCAACGAATATAAAATGGACTTACTCCTTTATATGGAAGCTTGGGTATTAAGGGCTTAATTTAATGGGCATACACCGTGTCGATATTCCTACGCTTTCAACTGCATGTAATATTTAATGTTTTCACCTCTCCTCTTTAACCGCAGGTATGCGCCCTATCCAAACGCGCCGTGATACTGCAATCCTCGGATATCCTTGCCTATAATGAGCTCCCACTCCATCAGGCCAACAGCATTAATGGCAACAATGTGGGAGGCGGCATTACGGCCATGGCCTCCAAGTCCTCGGTCTCCGCGCCGCAGAACATCATCGCCAATGCAGGGCTGAGCTACGAGGATGTGCTGAACGATGATTTCCAGTTCGATATGGATGGCCACGATGTGATGGTCTTTCTGCACATCCAGAAGACGGGCGGCACCTCGTTTGGCCGCCATTTGGTCAGGGATTTGGATCTGAAGGTGAGTTGGCTAGCTATCCTTTGAAGAATCCTTGTAACTGATACCTTTTCTATATTTATTACCAGCGTCCTTGTGAATGCCAGCGGCAGAGAAAGCGTTGCTACTGCTTCCGGCCGCATCGCAACGAGAACTGGCTATTCTCCCGCTACTCGACGGGCTGGAAGTGCGGCCTGCACGCCGACTGGACCGAGCTGACCAGCTGCGTGGACGTGGAGCTGGACAAGAACGAGGGCGAGACGGCCAAGCGGCGTTACTTCTACATCTCGCTGCTCCGCCAGCCCATTGCCCGCTACATGTCCGAGTACCGGCATGTGCGGCGAGGGGCCACCTGGAAGGGATCGCGCCACTGGTGCCTGGGTCGCCAGGCCACCGCCGCCGAACTGCCCGCCTGCTACAAGGGCAAGGATTGGCTGGACGTGGATCTCGATCAGTTCGCCGGTTGTGAGTCCAATTTGGCAGCCAACCGGCAGACCCGCATGCTGGCGGATCTGGCTTTAGTGGGCTGCTACAACAAATCCTCGATGCCCGCCCACGAACGGGATCGCGTGATGCTGGCCAGCGCAAAGCGCAATCTGGCCGCCATGGCCTACTTTGGACTGACTGAATATCAAAAGGTGCGGTTTTCATATGGTGTTTTCTTAGGATACCTTGATTTTAATTCATATTTCTCTACCAGATGTCCCAGTACATATTTGAGGAGACCTTCAACCTGCGCTTCGCCATACCCTTCGAGCAGCACAACACCACAATCTCGGCGACTGCTGTCCAGAATCTTCGAAGCGACCAAAAGCGTCGCATCGAGAAGCTCAACGGGCTGGACATCGAGCTGTATGCCTTTGCCAAGACTTTGCTCTTTCAGCGGTGAGTTGCAGGATCTTTCTTTGTTCCTTCGACCTATGTATTGATATTTATAACACTCAACTTAATTGGCTTATGTGCCGATAGAACATGGCTTTAGTGTGCGCCCCTTGTTAGTTACAGTCTGCAGATAGCAAGTTTGTCTGGTCTGTCCGGTTCTCTGTAGATCCTTTCTTCCTAGCAAAGCATCATCGGGACGTCTGGTCGAAGGTCGATGACTCAGGTCCACGGCCTTTGTAGCGCTTTGTATCCCATGAGGGTGCGAAACCCTTTTGATCATCAGGGGCCAAGCCAGTCGACGAAGAGTCGTCCTTTGTTGCCTTCACTTTGTGTTGTGTTGACATTGGCTCTGGCTCTGCCAAAGGATAATGGATCCCAGGGAACCATCATTAGATCGCGTTACTTTTTAGCGCGCTCAATGTGCAGCGGTTATGCATGAACAGGCATGGGAAAATTATATTGAAGGTGTCTCAGCGCAGGAATATTGTCATTAACATCATTTATATTACTTTGGGCTTGATACATCAAAGGATCAGCCAATTGTGAAACCCTTTTACCATTTTATTGTCCTATTTTTATGGAAAGAGCTGTGGGAGATTCATAAAACATGAGTCCTTGGTATAAAATTTAAATATTTTGTAATGGAATTTTAATATAATATAATGTAATGGGAAGTTTATGCAAGGACAACTATTAAATTATAAAAAGTTTATTGACATTATAAACCAATATAAAATACTTTTGGGGAGTTAATTATTTTTTCTTGATATTTTATTAATTTGTGAAAGATTTCACTTAATAAAATACAAATATTTTGTATGGAAATTTTAATATAATTTAATGGGAAATTTATATAAGGCCAAATATGAAATTATAAATAGTTTATTTACATTATAAACCAATATAAAAGTCTTTTAGGGAGTTAATCATTTTTTCTTGATATTTTATTGGTTTGGGATAGATTTCACTTAGTTACTTTATGTGTTATAAGAAAATGCCAGGAATATGAAACCCCCTAGCTTATAAATCTTTTGCACAGCTGTGTGTGGTTGACCCACCCAGAATTTCATGCCTGCCTGATTTAACCTAGAATTATCACCTCCCAGTTGCTAGAATCTTCCATCCATTGTTTGCCATCAAAGAAACAACCAGCTGAGCAGTCGGCAGTTGTGACAATCTCACCGGAGAGGAAGAAGGGAAAAAAGAGCAGGGGACACAGGGAGCTACCGCAGGATCAGCAGGATCTCATGAGGGTCTCCTGCCAGATTAGCGATGGCCGATTGCCCAACTGCCTGATCACAGAAATACTAGATTTCCCCGACGCATTTCCATTTTCCATGCAATTCAATTCGCCACAATTCAATTCAACTCATTGCGCAGGCGCAACTCTCGCCCATTTCCGACACATTTTCCTTCCAATTATGCGGGCTTCGGATTTCGTATCAAATTAACAACTTATGCTGGCTGCCAGCTGGGTTGGAGCTAACGGATAAAGCAGTCCATTCAGCCATCAAGTCCTATTCCTATCCCTGTACTCCTCGTAGTCGCAATCCTCGAGAGCAATCGCATTTATTTGTAGACGTCTCGAAGGGAAGGAGAGAATGCCAGACAGATGTGAGTGTGTCTCTGCTCTTCGGCTACGCCACATTTCCTATATCTGAGCAGCCAGGGAATGCGGAACCCCGTCGTCATATGTATCTCCACCCCTACCCATCGTTCTCCTACCCCCACCCCGATTTTGAACCCTCCTCGTGCTGTCTTGAACTACAATTGCAACATTTGCGCGCGCTAAAATGAAAACATTTCTTCTTTACGTATACACGAGGCCGACGTCTTGACAAACACACAGATAAGACGGCTAGGGATAAAGAATTGTGGCACGAACTACCACCAAGTAAAGCAGGAAGAAGTACATGGTATTCCGGTTATGTAGAATTTTAAACACCCTTAAATGTATGTTTATATAGAAATTGTTAAAAATTTAAATGGTTTTTATAAAACTAAAAATTACAAATTGCAAAAATAATAACACTTATGATTATTGTATCTTTAGAAACATAGAACAAAATACACATCTTACTTTTAGTTGAAGTAAACTTATAATGGTGAAAGAATAACTAATAAATTAGATCTCTCTAAATTTTACAGTCTAAATCAGGGATTGAATAACCCATATGTTTAAAGAAAATTCCTTTAAAATTAAATATGAATAAAAATATATGGAATTTTTCTAAAAACGCAGAAGTGTTTTTTATGCTCTCTTTAGACTCGAAGAACCGTTTTCTTGTCCTTTCTTTAAATTTAAAGTAGAGTTAAAGCCTTAAAATTTGTATTTATTTAAAAAATATATTTTTGCATAGGTTTTTATCTGTTATGTAAAATCATTCAGTGATCCTATTTAAATTGATTTCTTATTTATAAGAAAAATCTTAACCGATATAAGGGAAGTACCCAGCCTGACATATAGGGTATACCGGATCATATAGGTGAGACAACGCCGGATCGTTGCAGCGACCCTTTTGCACGAGGGTTGTTTTCTTCGTTACCCCTCGCTCTATCTCGGTCCCGCTCTACCTATCCACCCATCACGCTCCCTCTCGCTGCGCCAGCTGAGGACAATGTTTGCCTCAGCGATCTTGGACAGAAGGTGATCTCAGTTAGGTTTTGACAGCGGAACGCGTAGGTACAGCGAAACGGGTAGCAACGGGAAAGCGGGTTTAGTGTAGAACAGAACAGACTACGAAGTACAGAACAAAAATTTTATAAAACGAACTACAGACGATTTGTTAAACAGTTTACCTTAAAGAAAAACCAAAAGTTAAAGTTGTGTTTATGTTTGATCATCGTTGAGTTATTGTTATTTCGAAAGTTAAACGAGCGTTATTTATGAGACACTGAGAAATCCAAAGAAATCGTAACAAAGTTAAAAGATAAATCCAAAAAGAAACAAATCGAAAATGTCTTTCTCCAAGGCCAAGTTGAAGCGTTTCAATGACGTTGATGTGGCCATCTGTGGCTCGCCGGCTGCCTCCAACAGCTCGGCGGGATCGGCGGGAAGTGCCACGCCCACTCCAGCAGCAGCAGCAACAACAACAACAGCTGCTACTGCTGCTCCTCCCACCGTTCAGCCGGAGAGGAAGGAGCAGATTGAGAAGTTCTTCAAGGACGCCGTTCGCTTTGCGTCCAGCTCTAAGGAGGCCAAGGAGTTTGCCATTCCCAAGGAGGACAAGAAGTCGAAGGGATTGCGCCTCTTTCGCACTCCCTCGTTGCCGCAGCGCCTGCGTTTCCGTCCTGCGCCCAGTCACACGGATGCGGCGGCCAGCGGCAGTGGAAGTGGTGCCTCCACGGCGGCCTCAACTCCGCTGCATTCGGCAGCCACCACTCCCGTGAAGGAGGCCAAGTCCGCCAGCCGGCTGAAGGGCAAGGAGGCGCTGCAGTACGAGATCAGGCACAAGAACGAGCTGATCGAGAGCCAGCTGAGCCAGCTGGACGTGCTGCGTCGCCATGTGGAGCAGCTGAAGGAGGCCGAACTCAAATTAAGGGAAGAGCACGAGCTAGCCACCGCCAAGACGGATCAGCTTATCGAGGCTCTGACCAGTGAGAACCTCTCGCACAAGACTCTCAACGAGCAGATGGGTCAGGAGCACGCCGATCTCCTGGAGCGTCTGGCCGCCATGGAGCAGCAGTTGCAGCAGCAGCGCGAGGAGCACGAGAGCCAAGTGGAGACGCTGATTGCCGAGAGCGAGGCACTGCGTCTGGCCAACGAGCTGCTGCAGGCGGCCAACGAGGAGCGTCAGGTGGTGGAGCAGCAGCTGCAGTCGCAGCTCTCTGCCCTCCAGTCGGATGTGGCCCAGGCCCGTGAGCATTGCGCTGTGGAGCAGGCCAAGACCGCCGAGAATATCGAGCTGGTGGAGAATCTGCAGAAGAACAATGCCTCCCTCCTGGCCGATGTGGTCCAGTTGAAGCAGCAGATCGAGCAGGATGCCCTGTCCTACGGACAGGAGGCCAAGAGCTGTCAGGCTGAGTTGGAGTGCCTGAAGGTGGAGCGCAATACCCTGAAGAACGATCTGGCCAACAAGTGCACTCTGATCCGATCGCTGCAGGATGAGCTGCTGGATAAGAACTGCGAGATTGATGCACACTGCGATACCATTCGGCAGCTGTGCCGGGAGCAGGCTCGTCACACCGAGCAGCAGCAGGCGGTGGCCAAGGTGCAGCAGCAGGTGGAGAGCGACCTCGAGGGCGCCGTGGAGCGCGAGAAGAGCTACTGGCGGGCGGAGCTGGACAAGCGCCAGAAGCTGGCCGAAAACGAGCTTATCAAGATCGAGCTGGAGAAGCAGGACGTGATGGTGCTGCTGGAGACCACCAACGATATGCTGCGGCTGCGCGACGAGAAGCTGCAGAAGTGCGAGGAGCAGCTGCGCAATGGCATCGACTACTACATCCAGCTGAGCGATGCACTGCAGCAGCAGTTGGTGCAGCTCAAGCAGGACATGGCCAAGACGATCACCGAGAAGTACAACTACCAGTTGACTTTGACCAACACTCGGGCCACCGTTAATATCCTAATGGAGCGTCTGAAGAAATCCGATGCTGATGTGGAGCAATTCCGTGCCGAACTGGAGTCGGTGCAGCTGGCCAAGGGAGCACTGGAGCAGAGCTATCTGGTGCTGCAGTCGGATGCGGAGCAGCTGCGTCAGCAACTCAACGAGAGCCAGGAGGCACTCTCTGCACTCAGATCCTCCTCACAGACGCTGCAGGGCGAGGTATCGTTGAAGGAGTCCTTGCTCCACGAACTGCTTGCCGGCGAGGCGGAGACATTGGCTAAATTCAATCAGATTGCAAACTCGTTCCAGGAGCGCATCGATGGCGACGCCCAGCTGGCCCACTACCACGAGCTGCGCCGCAAGGATGAGACACGCGAGGCCTACATGGTGGACATGAAGAAGGCCCTGGATGAGTTCGCCACCGTGCTGCAGTTCGCCCAGTTGGAGCTGGACAACAAGGAGCAGATGCTGGTGAAGGTGCGCGAGGAGTGCGAGCAGCTGAAGCTGGAGAATATCGCCTTGAAGTCCAAGCAGCCGGCCTCGGCCTCCCTGATGGGAACACCGGGCAAGGCCAACCGATCGAACACCACCGATCTGGAGAAGATCGAGGATCTGCTGTGCGACCCAGAGCTGCGTTCCGACTGCGACAAGATCACCTCGTGGCTGCTGAACACCTCGGAGAAGTGTGTGCGCCAGGACAGCACCAGCGAGATCAACGAGCTTCTGCTCGCCGGCAAGTCCTCGCCCCGTCCCGCCCCCCGAACGCCCAAGGCCACGCCGCACAGTCCGCGCACTCCCCGCACTCCGCGAACACCGCGCTCGGGATCGGCGGCCAGCACGCCCAAGAAGACCGTCCTGTTCGCCGGCAAGGAGAACGTGCCCAGTCCGCCCCAGAAGCAGGTGCTCAAGGCACGCAACATCTAGGCTATTTCTCTTACTATTATAAATTGTACTACTATAAATTATATACCTTAGCTAAGATCTGATTTGAAATATATTCAATACACACGTTGCACACAACATAGCCAAAAGGGGTTTTTGAAATCGATAATCTCTGGTGTTTATTCTGGAAATTTGATATGTTGAAGGTGTTTTCTTAATATATATTGAGACCTTCTTCCAATCAAAACATATTTGGCAAAGTGCTTGGAAATTTGATATGCTTATATTACTCTGTTTACAAAGATGTCATACAAATCTGTATAGGTTGATCTTAATTCCCTCCTGTTATTCAAAGAAATTTGATATTAATAAATACTTTTTTAAATGCTAAGAAAATGATTTATGTGTATTTCCATTTTTCCACATTTTCGATCAGTTCAAAAATAAAAGTAATTTTTAATCTTCAAGCACGTTTTCTTCTCCTCAAACTGTACAGTTTCATAATTGTATGAAAAGTAAACTTAATTTTTTAAAGTCGTCATTTCATTTTTGTACCTTTGTAAAAGGCTGTACTCTAAAAACAATGAGAAAATTGTTTACGCTTTTCTTGGCAACCCCGAGGAACTCGTTTTGATTTCGATCTGCTGTCGACCGTGTTGGCATTTTCTCAGGCTGAACCTCCTCCGGGAAGTAAGGGAGTCGAAGGGGTGGCAGCCATGCAATCCGATGGATTCTTGCGACGCTGATTACGCAGTGCACACGTGGCCCTCGAGGCAAAGGCACCGCCCCATTCCCCTGGTTACTCGATGGGAACGGACTCGCAGTTCCTTAGTTCCTCGAGCGAAACGGAACAGCTGCGCCTGCGCTTCCTCCTCAAGGGTGGTTTAACCGTCTTTGAAAACAACAAGAAGAAGGGAAATACCCATGCACCACCGACGACGACAACAACAACCACTGGTAGCTGCAAGTTCGCTTCATTAATTGTGACTTAAGCCTGTTGACGGGGTTTTCCCTTCACCTTTTTTGTTTTTCCGCTCCTTTTCTCCTACCCCCTAAAAATCTCTGGCCTTTTGTCTTGGGCCGCACACACATAATGGCCGCTTATGACCTTTGACATTTTCTGCAATGCTCACAATGCCCCGGGCAAGGTAAGTGAAGACTTGCCCAAGACGTGGATTTATTCATCATTGTGCATACAAGCTATACAGCTGTACGAAAAACCGTACCTCGGGCAGCTGCATCAACAATTGAGGGTTCCCTTTTTTTATGGTGGGGTGCTGCACATAAGAAAACAATCTATTGCGCAGAAGTAAATTGAGCAGCTTTTGTTTGGAAGAGCGACAATGCAGAGTGTCGGTTTGGGTGGAAAAATGGTTAAGGAAAACGGGAAGGAAATGCCAACACAAGTTGGCATCGGAAATCCCCGAAGAAAGTAGATTACGCATTCAGACCAGCGGTGATTAAGGTTTAGGCCTACCTGAGTTAATGCGCAGAAAAAGAATGATTTTCGGAAAGGTTCACAAGTCCAGAAGGTCTGGTTCCATGAAAAATTAGCATAATTGCAGATCCAGGATTTTATGACATATGCAGAAATATTCTATGGGTAAAAGTAGTTGGTTTTTAACGTTTATTTGTTTATATCTACAGAAAGTTTATTTGATATCCATAGTGTTCGACTTTGAATAAATGTATATTAAAAGTTACTTATTACACTTTGAACTTATACATGCAAATATATATTCATATTGATATTTATCCATCCTCATTAATATTTGCCTTTCTCCTTGCAGTTTCGAACATCTGAAGGCAAAGGACACAAACTTTGAGCAGCGCTATGCCAACCTGGGCAACATCTACTTCAAGCAGGGCGTCACGGAATTCAACTGGGACAGCAATGTGGAGGATGGGCTCAGCACGGATCATTGAACTCGAAACCAAATATTACCGTTTAGAAACTAGATTGTAGGACACACACCAACTCATAATTATGTAGCTGGGCAGGGCAGAATAGGAGGGGTGGTCACCGAGGTTACCGAAACGCAGAAACGCAAAAGCATCAGCATAAAAATCAACCGAAGGACTTTAAACTACCGTCTAAGCAATAATGTTAATTAAGCAGATAAAAAACATCTAGCAGACTTGGCTTGTTTCATTCATACATAAGTAACAACACACAACTAAAGGACAGATGAGCGAAATCTCAGAGCGCGTAATATCTCTAAACCTAAACCTAAGCACAACTATGAAATCTATGACCATAACTGTACTCCCCATGCTGATACGCGTAGCACCCCCCAGAAAATCTTAGAAATTGTAAATACTTTGCATAATATGTGTATTTTATAAAAGCGCGGGATCCCCTTCGAAACATTGTAAACTCGAACTCGAATTCAATTTTCACCTTCACAGCGCACCCACCCACTCCACACAGCCATAAATTAGATTAGTTGATTAATTTGTAATATGTAGACTTTCGTTTATTGTTACGCCAAGTCTCTGCAAAGCCAAATCCACACTTAGTCTAAGTGCATAGTGCTTGGGAAATGTTTTCGATCCAACAACGCATTTATTTTACTTTACTACCTAGACATCACTGTAAATACTGCAGAATAAAGTTAAGCACAAAACGATTTAAGTAAGAGCATACAAATGCAATTAGTTTCGTCTATTTTACTCTTATTGTTTTTTGCCAGTTAAAGTGAACATATGTAGAGTTGTTAGCAGACATCATTATTTCAGACAATAATTAATTGGAAATTGATACCAAGCGAAACAGCAAAATTTGATCAAACAACAAAGCCAACGAAATACACACAAAGCCAATTGCCTAAATCATTAGAGAGCATAAACACATTGCCCATAACGTAAAAGTAATGTAATATATTTCAAATATTAATTAATTGCATAATAATCTATGGGGCGTGTGCCATTTTATATAGCAACCATAACTGAACTATGGAATTGCAAATTTCAAGCAGGTTCACAGAAACAATTTTATTTGCATTTTCATGATTTTGAGAAAGAAAAAACATTTTGTAGCGAACACACATTGAGAATAACAAAGAAAATGCGAACACAACAAATAAAAGCAGGTAAAATTGAATAAAACAAATGAATTATTGAATACCTGTTTTATTAAATCTCTGGATAGTGGTGTGGTTGGTTAGCACATGCTAAAATCGGAATAAAACATTCGGCTTCCTGCTGGGGCTTATATTTTAACAGAGTTACGACGAAAAAACACGGACACAAATTCAAGTTGTTGTTATAAATCCTTAGCTCAAAACTTCCTCCAAAGCTGAATTTTGGCCAAAACTAAGCAACAAATTGGCCAAATATCAAATGTCATACCCCGTTGAGTTCGTAATTAAATTCCAAATCGCTTGGCGTTCAAATCTAAAAACTTTAATTTTCGACGATTTTTTGGAAAAAATCGTGATGTAACCCCTTATTAAAAATGCTAAAATTGGCCAACAAGCTAATTTTTTTTAATCTACCCAAAAGTGATGGGGGTCGTTCCCATATGTTATAAGCTTCTCAAAACAGTCATCCTTTTAGCTGGGGCACCTATTTTAACCGAATTATGACGAAAAAACGCATTCAGCGTGAATACTATTTGTCTCAATTTTTTTGACAGGACTACTTTTTATAAATGTATAGTATACTTTCGGGGATTTTTAAAAAGTACTCCGAAAATAATGTTGCATTTTTTAGGCGTACTTTCGAATTAAAAATGAAGTAGCTTGTTTGTAGGCATTACTATAAATTTAAATTTATTATAAATATAAGTTAAAATTAAAATCTTTTATTAATATTTGTTTCTTCTATTATTTATATTTTTATTTATTATTTGTTTCTATTACTTATTGCCGTTACAAAATATTCCACTTCCTACCGGTCCCAAAAAGTATCAAATTAATTCGTCAAATCTTTGTTTATACTCAAAATAAACAAATCAGGTCATCAATATAATTAGGACCATTTTAATAGTTCCACGTAAGAGTGGAAAATTTAGTTGTCCATTTTAAAGACAATAAATATTTATTAGGCTCTAAATGGATCTTCCTCATTTTTCAACACCCCCTACGTCATAGATGTTATAAAAGCGAAGAAAACAAACCTAATAATAAGACATCACCCAGACGGAGCAGAAAATCTCCGACTAATTTGCACCAATTTGAGGGAACAACTAAACGGAAGAGCAAACATCGTTTTCGCTACCGTAATTCTGAGCCCATGGGGATCGATGAAAAATTAGCAAACTCAGTGCGCGTACGTACGCCGAGGTGTAAGCTTCATTGGATAACTCGGATATGTCGGAATCGCAGTCGACGGCGGGTAGCTATCCGGGGAAGTCCTCCTCCCCGGAACTGGACGTTGTGGAGCAGGTGAACGGCAGCTTTGGTCGCTGGCAGCTGCGCACCATCCTGCTGATATTCCTCTGCAAGATTCCCAGTGCCTGGTTCACAGCCATCATTATCTATACGGCTCCGTATCCCTGGAAGGGTGAGCTGGTCTGCCATCCGGCGGAGTGGAATGTTAGCCGTTCACGGGCGGATCATGTCAGCCAGATCCATCCCCTGTGGCAGGATGCACGCAGCACGGATCGGCTGTTCAATGTGGACGTGTGCAATGCTTATTCGGATTCCCTGGCCCGAGGATTCGTTCGCAGTCATGGTCGCGAATGGAATGCCTCCGAGTCCAAGGAGCCGGATGCCCAATCCTCGCTGCCCTGCGAGCATGTGGAGCATCGGACGGACTATAGATCCCTGATTATTCAGTTCGATTTGATATGCTCCCGTCGCGTTCTAGTGGCGGTGACGCAATCTTTTCATGCTCTCGGCGCCCTGATTGGCGGTCTCATGGCCTACTCGGCTCTAAAGATGTTTGTATTTGCTTAAGATGTATATTTTAACCCGGTATGATAATTTGGATTGCTTTTTCTTTAGCATCAGTCCGCGACGCTTGATGTTGCTGGGCATGATTGGGCAGATATTTTGCGGTAATCTTACGGGATTGGTGGACACCTACCAGTTGCACATCTACTTCCGGTGCCTCACTTCCATTTTTTGTGCCCTGATGTATACTTCCGGCCAGTTTATATGTAAGTAATTCATTTATTTGCTAATTTCCCATTTGAACTATTAAATAAAAACAAATTATAATTATAAAAAAACTATATATATTATAGAAAAACAAGAAAGGAAGCTAACTTCGGACAGCCGAAGCTTATATACCCTTGCAGATAAAGTAATGCTCACTCGGTGCAGTTCCAGGTATTCCAGCAAAGATATTATAAACAGTGTTTATATTCCCTTTGGATTCCAGATTCAGCGTTTCTGTTTTAATTTTGTTTATACATAAGTAGTCAAGAATCAAAACGCCTACTTCCTACAAAGTCACAATGAATTTTCTTATATTTGTTTGAATATTCCTATGGAAGCCTTAAGATATAGTGGTCCGATCCGGCTCGCTCCGACATATGTACTACCTGCAATAGAAAGAAGACTTTCGGGAAAGTTTCATCGCGATAGCATTAAAACTGAGAGACAAGTTCGCACAGACGGACAGACGGACAGACAGACAGACGGACAGACGGACATGGCTAGATAGACTCGGCTATTGGTCCTGATCAAGAATATATATACTTTATGTGGTCGGAAACGTCTCGTTCACTGCGTTGCAAACATCTGACTGAAATTCTAATACCCTCTACAAGGGTATAAATATAATTAGACTTAAAAACGTAAGAAAATATTTTTTTTAATTTGTTTAGTAACTTTAGTTTTTGGAAATGCAAATCAAAAGACCCAAGAAACGAACTTATTTTAACTTTTTCTTTTAGTAAACGACATCACCTCGGGACAGGCCCGCATCATTGTGATCACTCTATCGGAGCTTTTTTGGTCCATGGGCCTCGTCCTGCTGCCCGCCATATCGATATACTTTGACGACTGGAGCTACCTGTACGTGGCCATCTCCTCCTCCCTGATTGTGCTCGTCTGGCTACATCGCTGGATAGCGGATGCTCCTCGCTGGCTGCTCCAACACCAGCGTGTGGAGGCTGCACTGCGTCAGCTATTGGAATCGGCCACTTACAACAACCGGAAGGTGCCACTCACCCTCGATGTTCAGCTGACCGTTTACGCCAATGATCTGGAGCAAATGGCCAAAAAGAAGCCAGGTTACTGCCAAATCTGGGACGGCGAGACGAAACGTAGCCAACTGTTGTATATTCACTGGATCTGGGGCGGAGCTATGGTGCTATATAATATCATTCTGCTGATGATCCGGAACTTGGGCACCCAGCAAGTGCATGTGAACACAGCGGCCTTGGGATTCGCCGAGATGGTGGGCGTTTTTGTGGGTCTTTACTTGATCCTATACACTCGTCGTCATTGGCGGTGGGCAGGAAATCTGATGATTATAGCCGGGCTCAGCACCTATCTCATCTGGCTGTTGCCAGAAACTGGTGAGATTTGTTTAAATAATTAAATATTTACTGGCTAAAAGTTTTAATTTTCCTACAGAACGAAATACAAGACGCGTGGGGTTGGAGCTGGTGTTTTGGTTTATTTTAAAAGTGGCCAACTCCGCCTCGATTGCTGTCTTGACCACCTGCACCAGTGAAATTGTGTCGAAAGAGAAAAGGGTTCTCTTGATGTTGTCTGTGATTTCATTCAGTCGGATGTGCCTGGTCTTTTGCCCTTTGCTCAGCTGCCTCACGGTCATCCATCACCTGGTTCCCATTACCATCTTGGCCACCATTGGCTGGATTTATGGATTGGCTCTGCGTCGCTTGAATCGATATTATTGGAACACGGAGCAGCCGCAGATGAGTCAGGTGCCCACGCCCAACACTTATCGTCGCCAGACGGCCATCATAATGCGCCGATGCAGCACCGCCAGCTCCGAATGCAGTGCCTATAGCAACGAGCTGTTGAGCAACTTTGAACGGAATATGGCAGTTAGTATAGCCGATATTTGGCACATCAATTTCCATCCCTCCAGCGAGATCGAAATGGAGATGGAGCAGCCGAGACCGGAAGCTTGTAGATCGCACAGCTCGGAGACGATTTGAAGAGAGCTTTTGTGGTGCCCAAAAGTAGGCTTTGGTGGATTAGATTCTTATCAAATTTAAGACTCCCTTCTTGTTGTTATTAATAATTTTGTTTATATTTAATTTTAATTATATAATATAATAAAATACTGAAGCATGTATAAAAACACACCCACTTTTCAAAGAATTTCTAATAGTACAATTTTCCAATGTCACACCCATGAATTTCGCCACAACATTTAAGCCGGGTATCAACCCAAAATCAGAGCACTCAACGTCATATTTTGCTAATTAAATTAAACATCATCTTTTGTTTGGAGTTGGCATTATGGTCTCAATTAGCGAATGGTGCGTTACGAATTATACCAAATTAAACGAGTTTAAATGATAAATTTATGATAATTAAGTGGTGACGGTGTAAAGACATCCTGGAAAGTATGTGGCACTATGGGTTAAGATTAAGAGGATTAAGAGGTATCAGCCATCAAGATCGCAAAATTAATGTAGGTCAATGCATCAAATGAAGACCACCGCAATCGATGTGTCATTAAGAGCGCTAAAAAAAGCGCCCGATACAATAAAGATTAAAATAGAAATCCGCAAGGAAGGCGAATAAGAATTTGAACAAGCCCGAAAGGCAAACGCTGATAACGTAAAGTAATAATGTTATGGCTCCCAAGCTATAAACCCCCCATTGGAGGGGAGTTGCTGCCCACCTTTTGAGCGGCCAAGATAATGCACACTCGATAGGGGTAAACTCGGGCGAAAACTAATAACATAAAGAGCATTGAAAGACACTCAATCGATCCGTCAGCTATTCAATAAAATTAAATATTTAATGGGCAAACAAACGGAAAATGACTCAAAGCCCAAACTTAAATTTCCGTTGTCTCTGGTTATTCAAATAATTTATAATTTAAAAAATTGCTAAAAAGTTAAAGAAAAATGTTCGGTAAAACTCAACCGCCTAATAAGTTTTTATTATTTGAGCAAATTCATTAAGTAAATTAACGCTTCGAGTCGCCGAGTGGACAGCCGGTCGGCTCATAGCTCCCCATGAGACATTGGCGTCAGTTGCCATTTGATTCTCGGCCGATTGAGACGCGAGTGCTCCAAGGAGAAAATCGGACTGGGACGTGCGAATTGGAAAGCTGCCTTTTACGAATCGGATCCGCCGTAAACCGAACCGCGTGCATAATTTTTATGGTCGCTTAATTAATTTATATTAATTCGTATGCAATCAAATGAACAAACAGCAAAGAGATATCGCGAGAAATCAATTGTACTGTGAATGAGAGACTAATCAGCGGAAATATTTGGATGTTTGTGGTTTCATAAATAGTGATCGTGGAAATAATTGTGATCTTGCTAAGCTAAGGTCGGTTTATCTTAAATTAATAATAGATTTTATATCAAACACTTATTAATTACCCCACGAAAGTGCATTTATTGAATAAAATGTGGACAGTGCACTTAATTATACGCTTGTCAAAAACTCGAGCATTCCATTAATTTGATGCGAGTACGCCTTCCCAGTGGCTCAATGTTTCTGCCTCATAAGCAATTATTAATTTGCATTTGGGTTCGCAACAAGTCGTTCAACTAATTCATATTACCTAGATATATATCACATATCGAATAGGAAATTCAAATATTCAGCACCGGCACGACCAGTTTTCTGCAATTAGCACTAGCCGGAAAATTAGAAATTAAAATATTTGCGTTACCAATAGGTGGACAGAATGGACAGACGACTGAATTGGATGGAGGTGGGACCGCTTGTAAGCCAGACAATAGCAAATTAGCACCTGTGAAATTGAAGCGTAAAGAGTCTGTCAATACAGATGATCCAACAAAGCGACGACAGGCGAATCTGTCGCGAATTAACAACTAAATCCTATGACTGCCAACCTTTCGCCATGTTTGCCCTCGCTAAATAAGGGCTAGCAAACAGATAAAAGGAGGTGATACGAAATGATACCCATTATCTGCCTTTAATCAACCAACCGCCTGCTGACTTATTGATAAAACAATAATCAGACGTGATTTGTGATATGATATCAGTGGAAGAGTAAGGCAATCAAGAACTTCGAACATGAGTTAAACAAAATCCAAGAGCTTAGCTAATTTATTAATGAATGAAATTATAGATTGTAGATTATAGATTACAGAGATGTTGTAAGTGGAAAATCAACTTGATTTGTGGTAAAGCAAAGCTTGTAAAAAAATATAAGTCAAGTTTATAGATTAGTAAATGGAAAAAATAATGTAAGTGCTTTAGGTTAACTAACAAAAGCTTCCTGCATTCTCTTTTTATAAAGATTGAAGTAGGTTCTAACTTATGTCCCCATGTTTATTTATGACAATCCCATATGTAATAATGAAAGTCAATCAAATGAATAGTAACCGCAGACATTTCATGAATCTCGCGTGATATTCAATGCCTTTGATCGACTGATTTCAGCTGTAGGCCGCTCTCAATTTATATCAATTGGAAGAAATATAAATAAATAGAAATAGGGGGTATTGAAATAGAAGAAAAAAAAACATAACATACGTTTGCCACTCTCCGCCCACAGAATGTTCCACTAGAATAAAGTAACTGGAGCAATGGTCAATCCGTCGCCAGCCCGAGGTGGCGAACCCACTTCACCCCACATCCTGCCCAATGAGATGGAGAATGATCTGGACAAGAGGATGGCTTCACCACCTCCACTACCTCCTCCAAGTAGCGATGTAATTGCTGATGTTGTGGGCGACTTTGGCATCTGGCAGCTAAGGACCATCCTCATCATCTTCCTGTGCAAAATCCCCGCCGCCTGGTTCATGGCTTGCATCATCTTCACCGGACCGGAGCTTTATCCCGGCTCGGAGTTCACCTGCGATACCAGCTATCTCACCAGCAGCAGTAACTCCAACTTCAGTGTTTCTGATAACCAGTGTTATGTTACGGATGATTCAACCGGCGGGAGAAGCGAATGCGAGCAGTTCACCTACGTCTCCAGCTTCGACTCCCTGATCATGGCCTTCAATCTCGTCTGCCTGCGGGACATCTTCGTGGCCTGGACTCAGTACTGGCATCTGTTCGGTGTCCTTGTGGGCGGCGTAATGGGCACCAAGATGATGCTGGGCATCAGTCCGAGGAGCACCTATTGCGTTGGAGCCGTGGCGCAGATCGTTTGCGGAGTGGTCACTGGCTATGCCAGGGATTTCAGCCTGCACTGCGCCTTCCGTTGTCTATCTGCTGTTTGCTGTGCAATCATGTTTACAGCGGGTCAAGCGATATGTAGGTTTGGAATATTTATAATTAAATATTGATTAAATTTTCACCTTTTTCCAGTTGCCGACATCACGGCGGGAATGCATCGCATTGGTGCCATTATTTTATACGATACCTTCTGGTCCATTGGCGTCATTCTGCTGCCCGGTCTTTCGTCGTTCTTCAACAGCTGGTCCTTGATCTATGTGGGCATCACATTCCCCACCATTATGCTGATATTGTTGCTCTATTGGACTCCGGATTCACCTCGCTGGCTGCTCCGTCATGCTGCAGATCGCTTTGCCATCGACAACGTGGAGGAGATCGTGCGTGAGGGGGCGGCGATCAATGATCGCAGCTTTAAGATCCCACCGGACTTTAGACTTCAGCTAGAGCAACTGAGTGAGCGGCTAAAGGCTCAACCGCCACCGGCTCCTTGGCGGGAACTGTGGAAGGGGAAGCGGGCCAAGACGCACATGGTGGCCGCCCATTTGGCACTGGCCTTCTTTGTCATCAACTTCATGGGCATGCTGCTCAACATAAGATCGTTCGGAAGGGACTATCTGGTGCCTAATACCATTGCCATGGGTGAGTAGACGAACAGGAAATTAATTTAAGATGAAGATTTTTTTTTTAAATATTCTAATATTTTTCGGGGAGCCTATAAAAGTTATTGCTTATGTATGTTGTTTAACCCACGTGTTTTCCTTAAAAGTTAATGCAACTAAGTATATCTAAACTCATATCATAAAATAAATTTATATGTATATTAACACATTTTATTTGTTTTATAAAACGTTAGATGATCGTAATCAACAGTAACTTGTCAGATAAGGATATAAATCTAAGGATTTATTAAAAAGTGAATTTTATTGAAATATTATCTGAGAGTGTAATTGCGATCTATAGTTAATTTCTAGATACGGATATCTTCCAAAAATAATATTTTAATCTCTCTTTAGAGCACAATACGATCTGTAGTTTCTAGTTAGGTATTCCATAAATAATTTATAAAAACTTTCTTTAAAAAAACTTTATTCCCTTTCCATCCTCAGGATTTTCGGAAATTATTGGCTGCTTCCTGGCGCTTCACTTTGCCCTTAAGCACAACAAGTGGAAGTGGCAATGCGCCGGAGTCTTTAATATACTAGCTGGAATCCTTGGCTGCATGGGCTGGATATTCACAAATGCTGACTCGAGTAAGTTAATCTATACAACTACATTTGAGGTTTCATTATAATAATATAATTATGTTCTTTTTTTTCTCTCCCAGTGGATGCTGATCTGAAGGTCAGTCTGTGGATGATCATCGCCACCATTCCCAAGGCGGCTGTTTCCTGTGCCCAGTCGATGATCCTGGCCTGCATGAACGAACTGATGCCGGCGAACAAGAAGCAATTGTTTGTCTTCTCCGTGGTCACCTGGGCGCGAGTGTGGCTCCTCTCCGCGCCGTTCTTCAATGTCCTCAAGAAGATCGATACGGCCATGTCGCTGACCTCGTACTGTGTGTTTAGTATTTTGGGTGGAATCTGCACCAGCCTTCTCCTGACGCCCAGGACGAGTGTTGCCCCGATTGTGCCGCAAGTGGAGCCGAGTGACAAGAAGGAGCAATCCCCTCTGAACGCCCCCGTTTGGACCGTGGAAGCCGATGTAAACAATACTCGTTTGTAGGCCGAGAAGATCGCTTTTGTTTGCCAATTAATATTTTACAATAATTTTAATAGTCAGCTAATGAAATGACATTCTTCTGTGATTAGGTTAAGTGAATTGTTGTTTTAAATGCTTACAGTTTTACTACAGAATATTGATTGTTTCTTTTTTTTGTGCTTTGCACGAAAACTGGGGGAATATCTTATTAAACCTGTCAGCCTGAACACTCCACTATTCAAAGGAAAAGCTTTTAAAATATTTTTTTAACTGGCGGTAAACGAAAATAATTAGTTCGTTTTTACTGAACTTCAACTTGACCCAATAAATTTACTTGCTCTTTTTTTTAATTTATTAGTTGTTTATTTATATCCATTTCAGAGTCTACGATTTACTGTAGAGCTTTCAGCTTTTTAGTTCTTATCAGGTGATGAAGGTTCCTCCTTCGCCACACGAGTCTTGCGAGGATTGAGTTTCGGTGGGTCTGGCATCCGGAACTTGTACGTTAGGGCTTTGCGGGAATCCGAGTCCGGGTCGCTCAGAGGAGCAATTGATTCCTTAGTAATCATTTGCAGGCCAAGACTGCGCATCATGTCCACCTGGCTCATCGCATCCTGTTTGGCGGGCTTCTCCCGTTTCTCTTTATTCTCCTCCAGTTTCTTGGGATTATCCATTGTCGAATATTTATTGCCTTTGCAAATATCAGTCAACAAATAATGTTGTTAGGAAGAAAGGAATAGGGTCCAATGTCAAATGTCAAATGGACAAATAGATATTAGTGTTGGGCTGCTTATGAGTAGGGAACAAAAAAGTGTTGCTCATTTCATTTCTTTATTTTTGCTCACTTTCACCTTTTTCTCCACTTCTTCATTTCACATTTGTTCACACTTACATTTGTGTTTTTAGAAACATATTTATGTTTTTGTACCCAAATGAAACATATTTTTTAGTCACAAAAGTTGAAGAAGTTTTACGTTGTTCCTCCAAGCCGTTTCCGATTTTAAGGTTTGGCAAAGTTCTAAACTTAACAAATTCATAGCGACGTTAAATGGTTGAAAAAATGTAAGATGATAACCAAGGCAAGGTTTATAAGATACACGAGCTTTAAAGAAAATCAAATTTTTCCATATGTGCGGTGCAGAAGTTCTTACCCAGATTTAACAGCTAAAGAAAAACTAAGTAGGCTGTAAACAACTAACAGCTAAGACGAAACGAAGTAGGCTTTAAATAGGTTGTGTCAAGGCGTGTCAAGCAGAACTAAAATTTCTAATCATTACTCATTAATCATTAATCTTTGTCGTCCTGGTCGGTTCTTTTATTCTCAAAATAGGTTGCCTATCAGGTGCGCTCTTCGGGACAAGTAAAACCAAAATTGTATTTCAGTTTTTATTTTTCCACACCTTCCAGACAGCAAAATATTTACCATACTGGGAATGGCTGCGACAAAAATCGTAGTTCTTTCATCTTGATGGATTGTGCTTGATCATCTCGTTGTACAAATCGTTTCCCTTGCATTTGCGCTCACCGACTCCAGCGAAAAGGGAGTATCACAGTGGACACTTCTTTTTTACCGGAGACGGCGAGCGTACGTGTTAGGGAAACGACTTGCAGAACAAGACATCGTTCAACAAGCCTTGTTTCGCTTTTGGAGAACCAGGATATCGACTTCTACTCTATGGACATCTCAAAGATAAATTAGGTACGTTCCGAATGTTCTCTGTCTTTAAACCAAGCACTCAATTTCATTTTACCCTCTGTGATTTAAACATTGACTCCAAAGCGTTGAAGATCGTCAAACTGCTTGTTTTCGGAAACACCAATGACGTCCACAATTTTTCCAAGGGAGGCTTTGCTGCCAAAACGCCAACATTTTTCTCGAACATCTTTTAAATAAATTTCTAAACCATTTTTAAATACATTTCTGAAACTAATTTTATTACACTTTCATTAATTAAATCAAAACCATAAGCCTAATGCACTTGCTTAACATGGAAAACTTATAATACATTTGACTAAAATATTATAAAGGCAAGCGTCAAGTAGAAAAACAAATGCAGGAAAATCCAGAACCAGTAAACTCTGTAAGGTAAATAATATTTTTTGTAACTTTATTACAATGGAATATAGTTTTTGCTATCAATTTAAGGTCTATATTAACTATTTCACTATTTTACTTGTACAAAAAAATATTCAAGTAGTGGTCGTTAGTAAAAATAATTTCTTAGAAGACTTAATAGTTCTTATTGCAAATTAAGTTAAAAAGACGAACTCACCTGGTCACCATGAACTTGTTGGAGTCAACGGTGAACTTCTCGCGGTGCAGGTATTTATTGATTCCAATCATGTGACGCCGCACATAGTCATCGTAGTCGAGCTCCTCCAGATTCCAATAAAGCGTCGGATAGGTACCATTATCAATCATTTCCTTGAAATAGAAGCGACTCCTGTTCTTGAATATCCATTCGTTCAGCGAAAAGAAGCTGCCTTTAAACAGAAATACTACCCATTAAAAAATTTAATAATTTATAAATATATTCCTTAATATTACCTGCTAGACAAGCCTGGCGGAATTTCTTGGCTATGGGCGTGACTAGGCGCTTTTTTTGGGCCAACAGAAGGGTTTGTAAATCCATCAGCAGGGCGGGCACAAAGTGCAGTAGCCACACGGCCAACTCATGTTTGAGGGCACTGCATCTGTACTTGAAATTCGGGAACATGATCATCCGCCTGGTGGGATAAATTCTGGACCACTTCATAGTTAAGTCCCCCAGGTGCTGCCAGGTGATAGGATTGGTCACTCCCGAGGTGGCGTTACAGATGCTCAAGCTAAAGATTAAGTTAAAACGTTATAAATAATTAACCAAACTGTAAGTGTAACTATACCTCCCCAACTTCGCCTTGCCGACCATCATGATCATGGCATTGACCACAAAGTCCACGGGGATGATGTCGCATATCAGATCCTTGTTCCCCAGAATGCTGCTGATGCCGCCCTTGCCAATCTCCATCATTATACCGCTGATCGCCTGGATATTGTCGATCCAACCGGGATAGGGCTCTCTATACGCAGCTGTGACTATCGAGGGTCGCACAATCACAATGGGAATCACATTCTTATAGGCATTCACTATCTGCTCGGCAATCGACTTGGTAAAGGTGTAGGTGTTGACATGCGGACCCTTTATATAATCGGCCAGGCGATTCAGGTAATCATCGGGTATTTTCTGGGTGGCGGCCAGGAACTGACGCCAATCCACCGGCGGCATGGTGGGATACACCTGCTCATCCACATACTTGCGACCAGGATTGCAGTAAGCCGTCGAAACATACAGAAAGCTCTGGAATAAATAGTTGTCATTAAGTAAAGTAGTAGCAATAAAGGGTTATATCTTACCCTTAATTGAGTCATTTCCCTGCAAAGCTCTAGAAGATTGTAGGTGGCCTGGGAATTGACTCGGGCGGACACTTTCAAGCACTCATTAAAGCGTACCTGCAATTTAAACGTACCTTTAATATGAGTGGAAAAATCTACGGTGGATTTCCCACTCGCACTAACCGTTGCTGCACTGTGAAAAATAATGTTCACCTCGGCACACAAGACCGCGCGGTCGCACTCATTTAAACCTGTTGGTGGAAGCCTCTAGTAAAGACATGTGTTTCCATTGCAGTTTTCTCCACAAAAAAAAAACAAACCATACCAAAGTTGTCATCCTCGATGTTGCCAGAGAAGTGAAAGATTTTCTTCAGCCTGTCCGGATGTTCGGCCCTCAGGCGTTCAAAGATGGGATTCTGGAGGAATCCCCGGAAACGTTCCGCCACTGTGACCCCGTTCTTGGGTCGGATGAGCATGTAGATGCGTTTGATCTGCGGAAAACTCCAGAGCAGCTTTTCCAACAGGGTTTTGCCCACAAATCCAGTGGCACCTACGAGATCAAAGTTGTCTTGTCTTTGAAGAGTCTTTTTCAGAGAACTCCCTGTTATTACCCGTTATGAAGACCACCGCATCTTGGTAGATATCCGCCTGGTGCTCCACAATTTCCACTTTTCCGTTTTCCATGATGTGGCCACTTTGAAGCCACAATTGCTACTGATCTGCGCACTTTCCACACACAACTCGCTTGGCGAAAAGAAATGCCTTGGTCCTCTTGGAACAAGTTTTCCATGAAAATGCAAGTGGAAAACGCAATTGACCAACGAAAGTTGCCACTGAGACGTAACATTTGTGCACAAACATATTACATCATATTAGATGTGGCTGGGTCTTTGGTACACGATCATTGATCAGCATTCGAGTTCATTCAAGAAATTGCAAGTGGAAATTGACCTATAAATAGTTAAGAGCTTTTGGGAAGTAAATAAGTTAATTGAAAAAGTAGGAATAAAAGAAAAGGATTTGTATAACTTTAGATCACTTTTAAAAGTTTTGAATAAGGCTTAAGATAATATTTTATTTAATTCCATAAATAAATATAAAAAGAAAGGAATATAATATAACTTTTTAAAGCAATATCATCTATCAAATATATATATTGCCCAATTTATACTAAAGCATTGCTCTTGAAAACTGAATAATATAATATTTAGTTATGCCATTTATTACGGTCGAGGAATTTCCCCACCCTAAACGAGCTTTCTAAATACGCATTCCTCTGTTGTTTACCTGGCCAATTCATTAGCTTCAATCATCTCAAGTGCCTGACTCCCCGGAAAGTGATCTTCACTTGAAGATCCGTACGGATCAACAGCAAAAATAGATCGCATCGTCGCAGTTCGATGTTTGCAGAATCATTTAGGAACTCTGCTCGGCTTATTTGGAATGATTTGATTAGCGACGATGTCGTAGGCAGGCACCGCAAACCGAATCGATGGAGTTTACCTGGCCAAGTGAGGTGCTAAGCGAAGTCGCAGTCATGCTGGAGGGTTGTTACCAGCAAGACGTGGTTACTAAATTTTGCTAAATTTTCTAACGAAGGATGAAGAAGGAGGAGAATCATTTTCAAGGCCTGGATTTGGGCCACATCTTTACCTGCAGCGAGTCAAAGGCTACTACAGAACCACCCTCAAAAACAAATAGTATTACCGATAAGGAGAACAATGATGTGATTACTCATATCCTGGGGGACTTTGGTCCCTGGCAGCTGCGCTCGCTGCTCATCCTGTTCCTCTGCAAGATCCCCGCCGCCTGGTTCATGGCCTGCATCCTGTTCACAGCCCCCGATCTTTATCCCGAGGAGGAGTACAAGTGCGATACGACTGCTTTGGGGCCGGTGGACAATTGCACAGTCTCCCTGGATCACTGCTATGTGATGGTCAACTATGGTGACTCCGGCTACGCCATGCGACAGTGTAGAAAGTTCCTCTACACCACCGGCTTCCACTCGCTGACCATGGAGTTCGACCTGGTCTGCCTGTGCGACTTCTTCGTGGCCTGGTCGCAGTACTGGCATCTCTTTGGCCTGCTCATCGGAGGAGTGGCGGCCACCAAGCTGATGCGTGTCCTGAGTCCCCGGCAGATCTATGGCACTGGCATCTGGTGCCTGCTCATGTGCAGCCTGCTGATGGGTCTGGTCAAGGACTTTAGTCTCCACTGCGGCCTGCGCTGCCTGGCTGCCGTATCCTGCTGCTTTATGATCACCTCGGGGCATTCGATATGTAAGTTAAGAGGTGGAAAAATATTTTATAATATTTTTAAACTATTTTAAAAACTTTTTAGTTAGCGACATAACAGCGGGCAAATATCGCTTGGGAGCCCTCCTGCTCTACGACTGCTTCTGGGCTCTGGGATTGATCCTGCTCCCGGGATTGGCTTCTGGTGCTCCCAGCTGGCAGCATATATACCTGGGTGTCACCCTCTCCCTGCTGGTCATTGTCTTCCTGCTGCCCTGGACCCCGGATTCACCTCGCTGGCAGCTGCTGCACACCAAGGAAAACCAACTGGCCGTCGAGCGAACGGTGACTATACTTTTGGAAGCAGCCCGCTCCAATGGAACCGCACACAGGGTGTCCAAGGAGTTGCCCCAGGAGTTGGGACAACTCAGGGAGAAGATGCTGGAACCAAGGCCACCAGTTTATTGGATGCAACTGTGGATGGGTCAGCGGAGGAGCACCTTCCACCTGCTTTCCCTGCACATGGCACTGGCCACCTTCATGGTGGTGAACACAGGGTTGCTGCTCCATGTGCGATCCTTTGGAAGGGAGCACCTGGTGTCCAACACTTTGGCCATGGGTCTGGCCGAGATGCTGGGCTGTTTTTTGGCCCTGCATCTCACCTTCAACCAGGCGGCTAGCAAGTGGCAGTGGGCCGGCGGTTTTGCCATGGTGGTCGGCTGCATCGGTAGCGTCTGCTGGTTCCTGGCCGAGGAGGATATGCCCGAGGTGTACGGACTAACACTGGGATTGCTGATGGCCTCACTGCCCCAGGCGGCCGTGGCCTGTGCCCAGTCCATGATCCTCGCCTGCCTGGGTGAGCTGGTGCCGTCGGAGCAGCGTGATTGCCTCGCCTTCTCCGCCGTCACGTGGGCAAGGGTGTGGCAGCTCTCCGCCTCTTTTCTCACCCTGCTGCGGCAGGTAAGCCCCGCCCTCTCGCTGTCCGCCTTCTGCCTGCTGGTCATCCTGGGCGGCCTCTGCACCTGTTGCCTGGTCACTCCTGGGAAGGAGGATCAGGATCAGGATCAGGAACAGGAACAGCAGGGAGCTGCAGTGAATAAGAAGCAGCACTTGATAGCGTATAGTTAATCACGTATACGTAGGGTGAACCATATGCTAAGTTAGTTTTAGTGTCTGCCAAGTATTTGCGATCAGTATTCGAATTTAGATTGTTACAAATTTATATTGAGTTGCATACTTTTGGGAATAAATCAAAAGTTAAGCACTTACTTAAAGTATTTTACTTTACTCTTTTTTTAAGACCAAGAAATATTTTATTTTCCTAGTACTAATATATATTCAAAATTTAAATTGAATATGGATAGAGATTATGGAAAAACAGGGTTTATTTAAGATAAAGTGTTCAAGTGTTCATAATACAATATAGAATGTATAAAGCTTTGATATTAAAATATATAAAAGTAATGGAAAAACAATGTATGTTGTTAAAATGAAATCTTTAAGTTATAATTAAATATGAAATGTATGGCTAAGCTTTGATATTAAAAGAATGAGCTTAGATGGCACTTCTTTTCTGCCAATCCCATTATTTCTTACAGGAACCCGAACCCAAGCCACTTGGGACCAATGTTCACCCACAACACAGCACATTCATCCACTAAGTTGACACACATTCGTGTAATACGTATAATAAGCACACATGCCTGGCTAAATATCCAAGCGCATTGCTCTACTAACAGCATATTTCTATTTGGCCACTGGACCCGCCCCCAATATTCCACTATTCCCAACCAGCCATTCAAAGCGACAAATCAATAAAATAGAAGCCATAAAATTGCCCCAAGCGGCGCCACTACAATCGGCCCTCCGCAATGAGTGTGTCATTTGCGAAGCAGCAGTTGGCGAGGAAGGACCAGCAGACCAGGAGGAGCAGCTTTAAGCAATCCATCAAATAAATCCAGTGGTCCTGGTTGGCCGGCTGACCAACTGCTGCGATCTGGATGCCATGAAACCGAAGAAATCGGCTTTTGCCAACACATCCACTGGATACGGCAGGCACAAACACAGCGGACACGGCAAGGGACACGGCCACACTCAAGGACATTCCGGCAAGGATAAAGCCGAGGGGGGCGGCAAGGCCAAGACCCAAAAGCCAAAGGATCAGCATGAACAAAAGGAGGAGGACAAGGATCTGAACTCCGGTTTCGGCGACTATCTTCGCACACCGGAGGGTCTGTAATTTAGTCTGCCTTAGAAAGTATTTCTTTTAATTAATTAATATTTTTCCCTAATTCTATTTAGCATTTGAGATGATGAAACTCTTCGTCTTTGCCAATACAATAATGCTAATTGTCACCATGGCCTGGCCGCATATCAAGGAACAATTCTTCATGATCAATCAGTGGCTAGAAAGTTTTCGCGAAGAGCATCGGCAGTAAAGTCAGAGGATCTATTAAACTTTAAAATAAAACGAGTTAAAAGCGAGGGTACAAAATGGTGGGTCCCTTTATGCAGGGCCTCTTCTTGATAGGCATTATCTACTGGTATTCCAAGGGCATGATGTCCATGATCAACGACTACTATAGAAGTGAGTTCCAGCGAAAGCTGCAAACGGAACCAGCGAAGGCAAAAACTGAGGTGCCCATCAATGTGGACAACTTTATGGATTATGTTAGGGAGTTGGACTCCCCGGATGAGGTGGTCCAGTGCCCAGCGGAAGGAGCTGGAGCTACAACTCCACCTATAAGAAAGCCCTACTACAGCCACACACTCTTGCGATTTCTGGAAATCACCGGCACGCTTCCAGCCTTAGATATTTGTCTTGCTACGAGCAACATAAGATAGCTTATCCTGTAAAACTTATATCTAACATATTTTATATGACTTTCGTAGAATAAAGCATAATAATTTAAAACATAATTGCATACTTATAGGTTTCAATAGAGGTGTACTTTTGAATAACATATTTTAAAACAATATATTCCAAAATAAATGTAAGAAAATCAATTTTTCTCCCACTTGGAGTTTTCAGCTTTTTTATTTAAACTTTAGCAGAATATATTCGTGTATTTCCAGCTCACTTACTAACCTATTCACAAAACTGTATAAACATTCTAATTTCTATAAATACCATGGAATATATATCGATTTGGTCTGTCCTATGCAGTATTATATTGCACTCTCATTAGTAAGCTCTCTTCCCATTTAAATCTGGTCATTGCTAGTTGTACCTTTGAAGCAAGTTGTGAAAATAGTTATTTGCAGATATGATAGAAATTTGTAGGTAGTTGATTTGAAAGTTATAATAATTGTAGGTCTTTAATAGGTGCTGTTTTCAGGTATTCTGGCACAATTTTTTGAGTTTAAAGAATAACTTTATAAAATATCTTTTGATTTAAGAAGGTCTGAGTGTGATTACTATTTAGTTATTACCAATTTCATAAGAGAAACACTTTCTAATGTATAATACGCCCACCTACTCTTTAACCAATGCCTAAAAGTAACTTAACAAACAATAACGAACAAAGACAAATACTTTTCTGGTAAAATCATATTCATCTTTTTTAATGTATATTTTATATACACAACAGTTCATCATACATAATTTTATTATAAAATAAAAATAATAATAGTTGCATTACAAATTAATAAAGCAAAAATACAAAATATAGTACATCATACATCGAAATGATAATTCATGCAAAATGTACTTGTTGATTTGAATAAATCAAATGAATACATTGGAATTAGTTCTGTACTAGCCCGAATTCAGAATGGAGCAATAGCAATCATGCTTTAATCGAAATCATAATTTTAATAAAAGGAAATCACAATGTCTTTCGTTGGAAAAGGAAACAAAATTGACTCGGGAGCAATGCAAAAAATTAAGGAAACACAAAACCTTTCTGATGTATCACAACCTTTCAAACAAGGATTAACAATTGAGAGCTCGCTTGGGCTAACAAATCAAATTTCGACAATTGAGTTATGGTGGCCTACTACAGACTATATATACGCATACGTAAATGGATATCGCTTGATATTGTTATATGGCTAAACACGTACAAATTAGATTGCTTATGAACAAGGCAAAAATACAAATGCAGAATACGCAGAGACTCTTCTCTCTATAATGCACAAAGTCTCCTTGCCGCAAGGATCATTTCAAATATATAAATATAGATATATATATTACTGTGCGTTCAAGTCTTAACGAGTAAACAGTAACACCTAATGACTCTGATTCCGTTCCCACTGCACGGCTGCATATATTTCCTTTATTCCGCGGGCTTCCAATTTGTGGGAGGTGGCGGCGCTGGCACCGTTGGCCTCTTGGGCGTTTGAAATGAGTTCGGGGAAATAGGTGTCGTGGCTTGGGGCTGCTGCGCCTGCTGCTGATTTTGCTCTGCAGCCGTCGGAGGCTGGTCGTGGTTGTGATTGCTTTCCTTGGCCGCTGGCGGCTCCTCCCGCGTTCCGTTCGTTTCAGTTGTGTTCTCCTGACGAAGCTTTTCCAGGAAGTGTTCCGTTTTAAATCGCACACTCCCGTTGCCATTATCAATTGTCGCCTGAGTGGGAGTTGCGCCGCCCTCGTCGTCGCTCTTTCCATCCACCTTGGGCCCTCCGACGCCCAGCACAGTGGGCCGCTTGGGCAGCAAAGGCTTCTGCGGCACATCTGGCTTTAATTTAAAGCTACCAATGCTATCGGTGCTCTTGCGATCGGCCGTTGGAGAGGGCAGGTTGTCCAGCCCGAAGAACTGCGTCCGCGTCATCGGAACTGGCTTGGCTGGCGTTACTGGAGGCGGGGGCAGTGGTTCCAGCTGCGTAAGCGTTGTCTGGCCAGCGGCTGGCGATTGAAACTGCGGCAGATTTGGTAGCGGCGGCTTGGCGGGCTTCTCCTGCTTGTCTGGCGTCTGCTGGGGAAACAGCTCCTTCGCATGCGGCCGGTGCGAGGTCTGTGATGTGGTCATAATAGTGCCGTTTCCGTTGGTGGTAGGCGGCGAAGGAGCATTAGCCTTCTGCCTGCGCAATGTTCCGTAGCGTGGACTCTCCATGACTTCTACAAATGAAAATGAAGGAGTATAAGATAAGAGCTTTAAATGTACAGCAGTTAAAATTAGAAAACTACATCTTATCTAGAAAACAAAATTCTGTACTTTTTTCTGCTGTTTGAGCATTTTTTAAATCTGAATTTAGAACTTGAGTTAGACAATTTTAAGTTTTGTAAATATTTTTTTAAAGTAACTTATTAAATATAACCCAACGACACCATTCACTTCTGTACTTTAAGTCAATTTAATAGATTTTTCCTGCTGTTAACGCATTTGTTTAAATCTGCATTTTTTTAGAACTTGAGTTAGACAATTTTAAATTTTGTAAATATTATTTTTAAGTAACTAGTTAAAAATACCCCAACGACACCATTCACCTCCATAGTCCGAATTTTAAATTTCGATCCAATCAATTTTATTGCACAAAAATATAACGACTAATAAGAAACTAACTTTAACAACTTCTTGATATATAAAAAAAAATGTTTTAAAAATAGCATGGGGCACAGGAAAATATTAACAGTGGAATTCTCGAATGTTTCGTTGTTGAAAATATAATAAAAATGTCGTCATAAGTCGAATACTGTATAGTGGCCCGTTTCATAGAATTCCGACTGTCCAGCATGCTTACCACTATCGTTCCTATCCAGGTTCTCGTTGGAGGAGTTCGATTTGCTCTTGCCCTCGACGAAAAGCTTTTGCTTCTGCAGCGTCAAATAGAACTCGACTTCGCCGGTGAAGAAGTAGTCCCACTGACTGATTAGCAGCTCAACGATGATATTGGCCGCAGATGAGCTGTTCACCTGACCAATATAATCAGCCGGGGCATTGCTGCTCTTGTCGATCCGAGGCCACAGCATATTGGGCGACATTACGATGGCCAGATTCTGCGAGCTCATCTTGTTCAGCGCCGAACGCTGCTGCACGATGGCCAGAAAGCGGGTGAGGTATCGAAGGTTTGCGTAGTTCTCCTTGGGCAGCTTGCTCAGGCTGGCCTTGATCTCTGTCTTACGCTCCGCTTCGCTGTGCCTCTCGGCGATCCGTATGAAGTCCTTGTACAGGCCGTAGGTGAGCAAGGGCTCGGGCAACTCGCGCAAGTAGAGCTTAAGTATGGAGCCAATGACATGGGGATCCTGGTAGTCCAGCGGCAGCGGTGTCTTAACGTGCTGCGCCTCCAGGGCGTGCTTCATCCGGCGCAGTTTGGTGCTGGCGCAGCCCACGCGCAGCAGACCCTCCTCCTCGAGACCGTGCTCCAGCAGGCAGCAACAGCAGAGCTCCACGATGTAAGAGATCTCGCGGTTCGTTGATGTCAGGTGCTCCTTTAACGAGGTGCCAAAGCGAGACTTCTCCGTGCCCTGGATGGTGTCCTGTATGCGGGCCAGCGAGGCGTTCACGTGCTGCAGCGCCCGCTCGTGATAGTTTCTTTGGTTGAGCACATAGTCGCGGATGCAGCTAACGATCTCGTCCTCTTTGGCAATCAGCTCCAGCATCTGGGCCGCCCAGGCATCCCGCTCCTTCTCCAGCTTCAGCTCGCACTCCTCCTGCTGGCTCTTGATGTGGTTCACCTTGGCCGCTGGCTCTTCCAGCCGGATAGCCGCCTGTGGGAGTAGAACAGAGCTTTGATTAGTAGAGGCCTGATAAGAAACAATGTCAGGGAAATCGTCACATTCCGCAAAAGGAACAAAGTTCAAGCACGCAAAATATCTTATCTGCTGAAAATAGTTTTTCGCGTGACTAATGGCAGATGCCTGTGTAGCAGGAAAAGTTTGCGGCCCATATATAAAAATAGATCGACCTCAACCGCAGCCCGCCCGCAGCTGTTACCGCTCTCTCATCAAGGTCTTTGTTTGAAACCGGACAATGGGTTTAATATGGGTTATAGCGCACATGCGCCACTGCATTGGGGCCACTGACTGAGGTGACTGAATCATAAAGTAGCTTATAAAAAGGAGGGCTGATAAGATATGCAATTGAACTTAGTGGAAAAATATCAAAGTACATGAAAGGGAAAGGGGTTCCTAAAACAATAGTATTTTCATAAACCATTCTATAGATTAAAAAACTTTTATATTCATAGGTAGAGAGGTAATACATTCAAAGTTTCGACGATATGAACGTATTATAATTATTTCCTTCAGATAATTTATAATCACAAGGCCACTTTGGAATTTTTGACGACTAAACTTTGATAGAAAGAAAATATATCAAAAATAGAATAGAAAATATCAAAATAAATGAAAGGGAAATGGTTTCCTAAAACAATACTATTTTCAGGTCTGTTTCAAACCATTCTATAGATTAAAAGACTTGTGTATTCATAAGTAGAGAGATAATTCAAAGTTTCGACTATATGAACCTATTTTTCCTTCAAATAATTCATAATCACAAGCCCACTTTGGAATTTTTGGCGATATAAAGAATTTTAAAGTATAGTATTACAGATTCAGCTTTCAAAATAAATATACAACAAAGTTCCCGCTTTGTGATGTAAGTTTTGCCTACAACAGCATTACCCATTGTGTGTAAACAAACTGGTGGTGGCATTCATCACCCTATCCCGTATCATAACGCTGCTAAAAATAAACAAATCGTGACAAATTGCCGTAAGTACGCTATCTGCAGCCAGAAGACAATGGCATCCACCTAACTATCAATCTGTGTGCCTGCCTTCGCCCCCACCTTCGAATCGAATCATTTGCACCGACCGAGTGTGACTGTCGCATTTCCATGAGCCGCAACCTCTCGACGACCTACATCCCAGTTGGCACCACAAGTTACGCATTCCGGGCTCCAAAGTTAGCACTTCCAAAGGCAGTCGTGTAAGCTTTTTCGGATCGGATCTGTGTCAGGGAGTGCAATTAGAACAGCACCGGGTCGTTGAGCGTCTGATTAGCGAATTATGGCAAGCCGACGGGCGTTTATATGGGACGATAAGATTACCGGGGAGTGTAAATAACTTCGGTTTCGAGTTTTCTGATAGTATAACCAATGGTCAGTGGCGTGGCGTCCATTTCAATTATGATGTCACTGCCGCCAAGTCAATGAACGTCTTCCGACACCTTAAACAGACAAGATACATCAACAAATACGGCGGCTAGTCATCTTGATATGGCAAACGGCGTCGTGATTTGTACAAAATAAAAAGCGGAAAGAAAAAACGGGCAAAAAATAAAGAAAACAGAAAACAATGAAACTCAAAAAGTAACTTTTTGTGTCCAGATAGCCGGCCATAACTGTTCGGTTCCACACTTGTAGAACCAATCGGGTGTCAAGAAATTGGAACACCAAAAAGCCGTTCATCCCGGCCCCCAACTCTCATACCACTCCAGATTCCCCCGCCATCCCTCACTCGGCGATAAGTCAACAACGACAAGTATCGGATTCGTATCATAAGAACGTAAACGACAAAAGCGAAACGCACGGCAAACAAACAATACAATACAATAGAAACTGGCGTGAGATAGAGTCAGAATGAAAGAAAGAAAGACCAACCAGCAAAACAGCAACAACAATGGTAATAATAATAAATGGAAATTAAAAATTGATTGCTTCTTTTGCCGGCGCTTCTTGGCATCCGGCCCAGTACAGTGGTAATGCATTGATTGAAAACCGAGGGCTCGGTTTTGCCTGGTAGTTTTATGACTTTTCATTCGGGGAACGGCCAACCGATCGACTGGTTTAATTCCGGGAATTCCAATTGAAGCTTTTTAAGTTAAGTCCGTTTCTTGTTTTCATTTCACCGAACTTGAACTTGTGCTACACATAAAATAACCGAACCACAGTGCAATTTCGCTGAGAGGGATATACACTACCGGCAATCGTTGTTATTGTTCGTTAATCAGAGACAACCTCGCGATTGGATTTCGTTGGGGGAAAAACTAAAAAGCGAAAAAACACCCGAATCACTTGACCAGCTGAGGTAACTTTTGGCGGCCCATTACTGCCAACGAGCAGATTTCTTAATTAATTTAACAATCTCCCATTGTCATCGCGCGCAGTTTCGTGAAAACGGAAATCCAACATTATTCACTCTCGCTCTGGCCCGTTTCTCTGTGGCCTCCTAATGCCCAATCCGAGTTAGATTTATGATCGGCATCGGCACACTCACCTCATGACTGCGCTTCAGCGAGGTGTACTCCTGCAGAGTGCGCGATACGTTGCGCTTGAGCGTCGAGATCTCCTGGATCTCCTTGTCCAAGATGTTCTTCAGCCGCCGCACCACCTTGGTCTCCGTCTCCAGTTCGCTCTCGATAATGCACTCGGCCATCGTCTTCTCCAGCTCGCCTGCAATTGGGGAACATATAGAGAAATTAGTATCCAATTATGGAATAGCATATACCAGAAATTTACAAAATAATATCCAACATTCAAGAGGATGTCTTGTTTTATCTACCCGTAAACTTTTTGTCAAAATCAGCATGATCTATATCTTCTTTCGGAAATGATTCACCTCTTATGAACAACAACTAGATCAATTATGGTTATTTATATTTTAAATACTCATACCATTTCTGTAAGGAATATATCTTGAACAATATATAGCTAGTTTTCTGTGTGTATCTTGAAGACTCTTGCTATTCCGCCCGCAAGTGAGGAAGTCAATGCTTATTTAAGACCTTATCGCCAAGCGGTAGCTGCAAAGATGTTGGCGTGCCGGTTTCCAGTTGCCGGAGTGGCTCCGATGCTTTGATGCGGGGCAAGATTCGGGCTTTACGAGGGGGAGGTGGCTGGCGAATAGGTTGACGAGCTGAGTAAGCAAAATTGTGATAATTGTGTTGAGTGCCCCGAGACTCGAGCCTCAGCAGCTGAACCCGCTATGAAGGCAGAGGCAAAGAGGTCGCTCCACAGAAACAAGAGCGAGTCCAAAACGAAGACGACGTCGGCACTGGAGTATAACATTCGAGATACGCTTGCCTTTCGCTCCCCCAGCTGAATGGCTTGAATTGAAGCGCATCGTGGCTAACAATAAAAGTTGCAAAGGGCGCACAGTGGGTTAAAGTGAGATGATATCGCCCTGTGATTACCGACACAACATGGGCGACAAAAAGCTAATTTTAGTGCGGTAATTTTGTGTTTTTGTGTGTCTGGAGCTGTTTTTAATCGAGACACTTAGGTGATTCCCTCTGTTGGGGCAGAGAAAATATTACAGAGACTTAGAAACAGTATTAACAAGTTAAAATCGTTATTTGAAAAGGGAAGTTTAGATGAGGTTTGCAATAAAATTAAGCTTGTTTACAAACGTAACGTAGCATAGACCGAAAAAACCAAAATATTTTTAAAGCGTTAACGTTTCCAGTCTAAGCTATTTTCTCTGAAATTTAAGATGGTAATGGAGGTTATATTACTTCATGTTTTTTTAAAAAGTTAAAGATGAAAGTGAACTTATAAAGCTTTAACTGGGAGCTCTGAACATTCAATACCATTTTATACTTATGTCATCTGCTGACAAACAATCTCTGCCTTAAACTTGATTTTATAATATATACTTTTGATCAATCAGATTTGCAAAAAATTTGCGAATCAAAAAACTTAACAAACAATAATAGAATGACAATCCCCCATATTTCTTTTCCCTATAGAAAGGGAAATGGTAAGTTTTGCGGCAAATGGCGATTGATTTCCTCAATGCGACCTAATTACGATTCGCGTGGAGCTTTTACTTAACCCATGGACACACGTTCACTGTGGCTACGATATGATGCATGCGGCAACGTTCGTGTCTAATCAGGAACGTGGGGAAAACTGGGGAAGGGGTTTTTGGAAGATCCCTGACCGTTACACAACCGACGATGGTCTTGAACCACTGCGAGGTTGCAGCTGCAACTGCCACAGAAACTGCAGTCCAAATTGCAATTGACGCACACACGCATCTGCGGATATGCGGAATGCAAAGAGGGGAAACAGCGCGACTAAAAACAATACAGAAAATAACACTCGGAATGAGTAATACGGCCTAGGGGGAGCGCCCACAAAAAATAAATGAGCAGCGAAGAGCAGATCATGACGATACGATGATGTATGAATTTCGGCTGAGACTTTTACTTTTACTAGCCAGCTAGGCAGCATAATTAACGCGCTTTGTTAACCCTCTTCGTTGAGCGATGTGTAACAAATTTAAATGAAAAAGCTTAGTAAGTCCTATAGAAAAAGGGCAATAAAAGCGGGCGCATGTGGGGGCGGGCTAACTTGGCTGGCAGCAATAACAGAAAACAGAAAACAAAAAAAGGGGGTATAAATAGATAATGCCGAAACCGCAAATAATAACCAATACTGCGGGCGAACGGCGAATGGGTTGCAAAGAAAGCAGCGAAAAAAGTCATAATAAAAATTATAATAATGATTAAAAAAAAGCCGTCGATGTTGATGTTGCCGTTTGCAGTTGAGAAATGTAAATGCCACAAGGCCAACCGACAAGGCGAGGCCGCCAATACACACACACAGACGAAGCGAAGCCCGTGACACAGTCATCCGCGAGCATTCTCCACTTCTCCACATTCCCCCCTGTGGCCCAAAAGTGCCCATACGTGTGCCATTGTGCATGTCTGGCGGCGATTATCGGATTTGGAACGAACGACAACCACTGTGCGCGTTATCAGCAGCGCCAATTTGACTTCGGGCAGGGGCGTAGGAAGGGGGTTGATCCCGCTCGAGGATTTATTTTAGAAAATAATCTTGAAGAGAATAATACTTGATTTTTCAAGCAAGAAAAACAAGTAAAACATTAATCACGAAAAAGATAAACCTTGTAAAAACCCAACCATTTGGGTTGTTTACTACATTTTGAATAAAATAAAAACGGAAATGATAACACTCAAACGAACCCCCTCAAATTCCCGCCTACGCCACTGTCACTCCGACACAGAAGCGATATCCCGATAGCCCTTCCCGATAACTAACCGCAATTGGCGAGGACCTTCTGCAGCGGCATGTCCTTGGGCAGCTCCTTGGCGGACTCGTCCAGCGCCTGGGCGATTTTGTAGTGACTGTTCTTCTTGGTCCGCTTGTCCTGCTCCTCGGTGCTCCCGCTGCCGCTGCCGCCGCCGCCGCTCAGCGCCGGCAGCTTGCGGACGATCTTCTCGATGGTGTCCCGATATCTGTCCACCTGCCGCTCGATCGTCTCCAGCTCGGAGTCCTTGCAGTCCGATTTGGTGGATCTGATAAGGGGGGTGGGAAAAGAGGGGGGTTGACATGGGTTAGCCACGGGTTAGGTCATCATCAGTCGTTGTTGTTGTTGTTGTTGACATCGGGTTTTTTGTTATAGCTGCAGTTGCTTGTTTTGTTTTTCGGTTTTTTTTCGGATGAGGCAACACCTGTCTGTCGTCTGTCCACCTGGAGCGCACTCACACACACCTACAGACGCAGACAGACAGACGGCCACCTCCATTGGCTGGCCTTTGAACTTACCTTGACAGATTCTCGGCTGCTATTTTGATTTTCGCAAACTGCCTCTTCATCTTGGCTGCTTCGCTATTTCGCCGCTCGCGTCTCCAACTTGAACTGAACTTCTGTGTGTTTGTTTGCGATGTGTAATTAGCTAGGCATTGAGTAAATACTTAAAACTGGCAAATTAGTCATTCTTCAACGATGTTTTACGAAAAAGTGAGACGAGCCGAGTGTGACCACAGCGGGAGCGCTAAGAAATGCCGAAAGTCGGGCGAGGGCGTCTTTTGAACTTCAAGATCTGGTCACCTAGTGTCTTTAATTGTTTAAAGGAATTTCCTTAAGTTTTACCTAGAATTAGTAAGCTAAACTAAAAGAAATTAGGTTTAAATATTTTTAACATTTTAAAATGACAAATAAAGTTCGAAATTAATCGAATATGTAATTAGAGGAATACCCCTTATTTACTTTTAGCGTTGCCAGACTGCTGTTTTTACCCACCACCGCCTTGCTGCACGTGTGCCATCCGTAAATAATAGTTTTATTTTTGTTTTACTGACCAACATGACCCAGGCGGAGATTGTAAAGCGTCTCCGGGAGGAGTACGAAATCGGGAAGAGCCAGGAGCAGAAGCCGACGAAGAAGGAGGACCTGCTGGCCCTCACCAAAAAGTTCCACCAGCGTGTTTTGGACCTGTTGACCACTCACAAAGTTCCCTACTCCCAGAAAGAAGGTAAAACCATCAATATAAGGTCTTGAATTAGTAACTAAACCTAACTTACAGATGAAGACACCTACGAGGACTACCTGCTGTCGGACACTGAAGAATCGGGCAACAAAAAGAGCAAAAAACAGAAGAAGCTGGGAAAACAGGGAGGCCAGGACTCGGACGACGAGGATGTGGACGCCCGCATTGCCTCCATCAAGAACAAGCTGCGCCAGAAGAAGGGTCCCACCACGGAGCGCCAGCAGAAGCGACGTGAGTCCAAAAAGCTGAAGCGCAGCAAGGGCGTCCAGAAACTGCTCCTCTCCTCGGCCAAAAACCTCAAGAACGAGAACGTCAAGCACCAGAAGCTGAAGAACGGAGTGGTGAAGACGGAACAGGACGCGGAGGACAGCAAGGAACAGATCAAACCGGTTAAGGTGCAGCCGGTGTACAACCAGGAGGCCAAGATTGTCTACTCCAAGGTGGACTTTGCCGCCAATCCGGGCGGCAAGGTGAAGAAGTCGCACCAGAACCCCAAGGAGATCCTGAAGAAGCTGCGCGACACCAAGAAGCAACTCACCGAGCTGCGCGAACAGGGCGAAACGGACAAGGCGGCCGAGATGCAGACGGACATCGCCTGGCGCAACGCCTTCGACAAGGTCGAGGGCAAGAAGGTCAAGGACGACGCCAAGCTCCTGCAGAAGGCCATCAAGAAGCGGCGCGTGGAGAAGAAGAAGTCGAAGACCAAGTGGACGGAACGCAAACAGAAGGTGGACTACGACAAGGAGAAGCGGCAGAAGAAGCGACAGGAGAATCTGGACAAGCGCAGCAAGGACAAAAAGAACAGGAAGCTGAAGACGGCCAGCAAGAAGGGCCGCATCATACCAGGCTATTAAGCCAGGCCTTAGCTCTAAGTACAAAGTAATATAAATGTATGCACCATTGAAATTCAACTCAGAATGCTGTAGAAAAAAAAGAGTAATCGTTGGAAAAATCTCGTTCTTATAGTTTCGTGTTAGAAATTTACTTTTTCGGCCTCGACACAGTCCAAATTCTCCTAAAAAGCTAAATTCCAAGTTTCCAAGCTCCCAGTTTTGGCGCCTCGTTTTTGTCCACTTTATGTTATTTTGTGTTCCACTGTGCGTTGCGCGGCCACCGAAGAGGAAGAGCGGCGAACAGCTGTGGCCGATAGCAACAATCGATTGTTATCGTTATCGCTTCGTTGAATAGCTGCGATTTTTCCAGATTTTCCAAGTACTTACAAGAGACCCAAAGTGGATTAGATATAGTTTAAAGACCCTAAGAATTGGAGGCTATCGAAAACAGCGCGACTGCCGATGTAAGAAGAAGAAGCACAGCGAGTGGGGCAGCCAAAGCAACGAGAGTCACACGCACGCACACAGCCACACAAATTACGTGCAGAGCGCAATCTATTCCCCCATTTTCCACCGAAAATAAAGCACGGCAGGCGGAAAAGCAGCCAAATTGCGACGCATTTTGCAGAGCAGAGCAACACTAACCGTTGGAAATTGAAAAGAAAACTCCGGAAGAAGAAGAACGTCGAAGGGGAGCCACACAACAATAACTTTGCAGATCAGCAGAGCAAGAAGAAGCAGCGGCAGGCCAGCTGAGAAGTGAAGCGAAGAGGCAGGGGCGCGCGCAGAGGGAGATCAGATCAGGAGCAGCGGCTGCAGGGGGCGAGGAAGCGGAAGGAACAGAGACGTAGAGGCGGCGGGGAGCAGCCACCATGAGCATGGTGCGGCGGATTATCCTGCTGGGCCCCAAATACAGTGTCTGGGCAAAGGGTAAGTGCTTGTTGTTGTTACTTCTGCCGCTGCTGCGCCAATCGCATACGTAACTGCGTCATTAGCCGTGAATAAACAACAAAAACAAAAGCAACAACCCAATCAGAACTGGCAAAAACAGCGCCTGCAGTTTACCAATCCCAATTGCCCCCCCATTTGGCTTATCACAATTTTCTAGCTGCGCTCGCTGAATTTTTCTTGTCTAGTGTCAAACAACCAAAACACAGAGTGAAGGTCGTCTTCTTTTGATATCAAAAAGCTGCTCGCGGTCAACGGGCGAGCAGTGGCGTCGCTTCCAAGGGGGGTTTCCCCTCAATCTGATTTTACATTCACCAAACACACATCCAATTGGAAGGCCAGAGCGCTCCCCCCGCAATCGTTTCCAATCAGACGAGGAGGGTCTTGCTTTTGGACCAACTGAACTTGAATTGTTTTATAAGGCCCGAATGGCCAGGTAGCTTAATTATTGCTATTGCCGCTCTGACGCAATGATTTTCTTTATTATTTCATGTCTTCAGCGGAGCAATTTCTTACACATTTTTAATGGCCCACAGTTGGTTGTTATTACATTTGTTGGTCTGCAGATTAGGAAAGTCGAGAGCCGGAAGTTTACCCAACCGTTTTCACTGAGAGAAACTATGTGGTAGTTGTCAGAAGAGAGATTATTTTATTTACAACACCTGTGGATTCCGAGATAAGCCCATATCTAGGCCCTGTTCGATTGGCAATACTGCGAAAAAGTTGCGAGTCATCTGCCATATCGGAAGATGCTAATTGCCCTTGGCCTCCACTTGTTAGTTTCTTTTTTTGTTTGGTCAATCTAGAGATTCTCTTCCTCGGATTCCCTTTGTTGTTATCAATTGTCTGTGCTTTAGGAGGTATTAACCCCGCACTTGGGGTCGATGCTACTGATTTTTCTTCTTTGTGACCAAGAGGCGATATATGTAAATCTTTCATCTATACAAAGCAGAAAGAAAATTGCAACAAAATTTAATCAATTTCATTGAATTTTCTAAAGAGTTAAAATAAAATCTAAAAAATGTTAAACACATATTTAAAATTATTCTTTTTTTATTTTATTAAATATTTCAAAGTTTACTGTACAATATTATATAGTAAACTAAATCCATTATTTTTGATATATTAAAAAAAAAAATAATTTTGTTAAGAGTTAAAAATAAATGTAAAAAATATTAAGTAGATCATTAGTAAATTCTTGATTCTGCCTTAATTTATTTATGTAATTAAAATAATTCTTTGTTATTGGACTATAATTACATATTTTAAAATTTACTGTACAATATTATATAGTATACCAAATCCCTTATTAATCTTGATATCTTTTTTAAAAAAACCTTATCAATTTGAGTTAATTTTGTTGAGAGGTAAAATAAAATGTAAAAAATTTTTAACACATCATTAGAAAACTCTTGATTTTGCCTTTATTTATTTAATTAATTAATTGAATTTTTAAAAGAATTCTTTGTTACTTTATTATAATTAAATATTTTAAAATTTACTGTTCAATATTATAAAGTAAACCAAATGCCTTATTAATCTTGATATCTTTCCTCTATTTTTTCAGGAAGCGGAGTTGGTCAAACACAGCGCTCGGCAAGATGCGTTATCCTGAGCGCAGACAATGCGGAGGACAGCAACTGGGGCGTCCGACGCTTTCACCTGGCCACGCGGAACTGTGCGGCCAATCGACTGATGAGACTAGAGCCCGCGATGGCCATCCCGGCGTACATTGACATCACCAACGCCACGTCAAGAACGCCAGAGGACTCCAGCGACAGCGGCAGTGGAGCCAGTTCGTCGGGGGGCAGTGGAGCCAAGAGTCCCGGCGGCGGCGGTGGAGCAGGATCTGGAGCAAGCACGACCAGTGGCGCCGATCCGCCGGGCGGCGGCAGTGACAAGTTCCTCTCGTGCCCCAAATGCGGCAGCGCCTGCACCCAGGTGGAGACCTTTGTGAGCTCCACGCGGTTCGTCAAGTGTGCCAAGTGCAACTACTTCTTTGTGGTGCTGTCCGAGGTGGAGACCAAGCAGCGCACCAAGGACGAGCCCAAGAACCAGCGCAAGCCACCTCCGCCGCCGCAAAAGATCATGGAGTATCTGGACAAGCATGTGGTGGGCCAGGACTTTGCCAAGAAGGTGCTGGCGGTGGCTGTGTACAATCACTACAAGCGCATCCACCACAATCTGCCGCAGCTGCAACAGCAGGGCGGAGGAGCAGGTGGTGGCTCCGGAGGCGGCCTGGACGGCGTTCCCCGTCCCGATCTGCTACACATTACAGGGATCGGTCACACGCTGAACAGCTCGCCGGGCAATGAACTCCCTCCCAAATCCCCTGCCCAAATGGGCCTAGGTGGCGGCATGGGCGGTCCCGGACTTGGCGGCGGACTCACCGGCGGAGCATCCAGCAATTCCCGTGGCGGTGGCGACCACAGAACCGGATCGGAAATACTTGACCGGCAGTCCACGGATGTCAAGCTGGAGAAGAGCAACATCATCATGCTGGGCCCAACGGGATCCGGCAAAACGCTGATCGCCCAGACGATCGCCAAGTGCCTGGACGTGCCCTTCGCCATCTGTGACTGCACCACGCTCACTCAGGCGGGCTACGTGGGCGAGGACATCGAGAGCGTCATCTCAAAGCTGCTCCAGGATGCCAACTACAACGTGGAGCGCGCTCAGACAGGCATTGTCTTCCTCGACGAGGTGGACAAGATCGGTGCCGTGCCTGGAATCCACCAGCTGCGCGACGTTGGCGGCGAGGGCGTCCAGCAGGGCATGCTGAAGATGCTCGAGGGCACAGTGGTCAACGTCCCAGAGCGCAACTCCCCGCGCAAGCTTCGTGGCGAGACGGTCCAGGTGGACACCACAAACATCCTGTTCGTAGCCTCTGGTGCTTACACGGGACTGGATAGGCTAATCGCACGTCGCCTTAACGAGAAGGTAATGAAGAGGTCTTCCTTTTTTACTTCCCTTATCAATAAACTATTAAATTTCCTAGTATTTGGGTTTCGGCATGCCTTCGACCAGCGGATCCGGCCGTCGTGCAGCTCAATCTGCCGCCAGTCCCATGGACAACGATCAGGAGGAGCGTGATAAATGCCTGACCAAAGTGCAGGCTCGTGATCTCGTAGAGTTCGGCATGATACCGGTAAGTAATGGATTTATTGGGTACAGTTAACTTACGATCTAGTAAATCATCAAATGAATCAAGTTCAATATGGTTAGAAAAATTAGCTTATCTATTAGAGCCCTGCGTGAATCATTCAATTTTTGTTTTATTATAGTTTGCCATGAAATTTCTAATTTGTTTAATTCAATTCTATGTGAAATGAATTGAATGTTTTTCTAATTCTTTTCGAAATGAATGAATGAATCAATAATTTTTAAGAATTTTTTGAAATTGGCAGATTTTTTTGAGCTTTCTTTTGAGAACAAAAAGTAGAAAATTTTTAACAAATCAACGTTAGCTGCTTAGTAAATAAAATTCAGGCAGATTTAATCTCAAAATAATGGCTCTTTCTTCTTCAAAAGAAATGGTCGTTTGAATTATTTCAATTCTATTAAACTTAAAATTCAAATTCATTTAATTCTATTAAACTCAAAATTCTAATTAAATCATATAAAACAAAAAATTTAAAATAATTCATTGAATTTATTCATGCAGGGCTCTATTATCTATTTAAACCTTATCTGTAATTAATACCACGTTTGTTCTTTAGGAATTCGTTGGCCGTTTCCCGGTTATCGTGCCCTTCCACAGTTTGAACGTCAGCATGTTGGTGCGCATCCTCACCGAACCACGAAACGCTCTAGTGCCGCAGTACAAGGCACTGCTGGGCCTGGATGAGGTGGATCTTACCTTCACCGAGGATGCGGTCAAGTCGATTGCCCAGCTGGCGATGGAGAGGCATACGGGAGCTCGTGGACTGCGCTCAATAATGGTAAGTAGTGAAATTTACGAAACATTTAGAGCGATATTTTTCATACTTTTCTTTTTAATCCCTTTCAGGAGCAACTGCTGCTGGATCCCATGTTCATAGTGCCCGGTTCAGACATTCGGGGGGTGCACATAACCGCCGATTATGTCAAGGGCAGCTCCTCACCCGAATACAGCCGTGATGCGGACGCCCCGGCATCCGGAAGCGTTGCCACGGACTCCGATACCACAACCGATAATGATAAGAACTTTGAGAATAGTGAGAAAGTACGACTAAAACAGTAAATCAGACGAGTACCCACATCCTTAGCCAACCAAAACAGCAATTGAGACAAACTTAAACAAATCAACGCTTTCCGAATTGTTGGTTCTTTCTCAGCTCTTTTGTCTTCTCTTCTCTATTCAGCTTGTTAAATATTTCCAATTGCTTGATTTCGAATCGTCAGCGCGTAACATCTGCAAACACAATTTAATGTTGAACCCTAAGATACTTTCGTTTCTCCTACTATAACATGTATATTTAATAGTCTGGTTTGAATGATAAATTGGTTGGTTCGTCCTAGATCCCCACCTCGAACCCCATCACTCTGTAAAATATGACCCGCTGAGGAGTGAACGAAGGCTCCCGAATATATTTATAATGAATATCCTCAATCCCATATGCATCTGTGATTCATAATCGACGAGCAGCGCAATCTATAGAGCCCGAAGCAATTGTAAGTGGAATAACACGTCCTAATGAGAATGTTAGAATGAATAAAAAGCCACACTTTTTTAAACATAAGATCGGAAATCTGCAATGTTGGCAGCGATGTGGTCAAGGTCTGTACCTATTGGCGCTAGGATCCTCTCTTGCATATACCAATTATATATACAAACGTAAACATATATTTAGGCAAATTTTGCGTAGTCTAAACTGAGTTTCTAAATGAGTTCTGGTAGCGTTGTAAAGATGACAAACGAGAAGCACGTTCTACTTTTAACTAATTTAAGTTGAAAAATCAAATTTTTAAAATACAAAATTAATAAAAAAAATGAAACAAATTTATAAGGTACTGCTTTTAATTTAATGTTAATCAGAATCATCCGACTCCAAGTTTCCCACCTAGGTTCATCAATCCATTTTTAGAATATTTCTAATTTCCCAATTACATAACCAACTTTTAATTAAATGGTGAACAGCATACTTGTACTTTTTAGTTTTTATTAATTTTATTTTAATCATCATTAAAATTCAACTAAATCTGCAGAACTCATAATAAATAATTTGAATTTATTGCACATATGGACTAATAGTAGTTCCTTCTTTTTGTTTGTTTTTCTGTTTCATTTTCATTTCGTAGTGTATAAATTTGTATAAAAATTTGTAAGTTAATAAATATCTTTTGGCGACCCTCAATCGTTTTCCTCGGATATGAGCAGCTCGTATTCCTGTGCCGCAAAGCGATCCCAATCGGAGGTCTATATAGTAGAAAAGAGTGTTAAAGTAAATCCAAAAATATCTTAAAAGATAACTTACATATTCGTCACGTTGCGAGGCAAAGGGATCTCGTTGTTCGTGATCCAGATACTTCTCCAGGTTGAAGAAGGTATCGAAGAAGACGTGAGTCATTTTGCAACGTTTCAAATCGCCCAGGGTGATGCAGTCGCGATTCGCCGGCTTGATCATATCCAGCATCTATTTAAAAAATGTTGTTAATCCAAATTCAGATAGGTTATTCCACCATTCCCCACCTGGCACAGACAGTCCTCGAATGGCAGGCACTCGATACCGATTCCCTCCATCCTCTGCTGCTGCTCCTCGTAGAAGTATTCCAGTTCGTACATGGACAGCACACCATCTCCGTCGACATCCATACATCGGAACCAGTACTCGATGGCCGTGGGCGTCCGCTTGTCCTCCTCCGACAGAATGAACCACACAAAGTCCGTGTACGACATCTTCGCCTCGTCCTCGGGAGCCTTTTTGTTGTCGCTGCGCGTCACACAGCCCGAGAAGATTCGCTCCACGATTCGCGATGACAGGGCATGGTCACTGTGCTTGGCGAGATCCTCCTGGTTGACCAGCAGGTCGTGATCCTTGTCCAGTTCCCAGAACTTGCAGTAGATCACGTAGAAGTGCTCGTAGCTAAAGAAGGCCATTATCTGATTGATGTCCTCCTCCTCCTCCAGCAGACTGATCATCTGTGGGCGGGTTTAGAATCATGTTTTTCATTCCAATTATTAGTTTGACCATTTCACAATTTTCACACACATATTTATAGATCATTAAAGAATGTATTCGTATCTCACCTCCAGCAGGTCGGAGCGCTTTAGCTCGGCTATTGAAATCTTGCCGCTCCAACTGCGGTTCACCGAATAGAAAATGCGCGCGATGACTGTGTGCACGTATCTGGAATGGAACTCGGTGGCTTCCTTGAGAAAGGCCAGGCCGGGGTGTGTGTCCACCACATCCTGCACCATTGGCACCAGGTCCTCGGGCACGATGTACGAACGGAATCTCTGGCCACGCGACAGAATGTACACGAATCTCGAGGCCGCCTCATGGCAATAAACATTCATTCTGCAAGTTACAGAGGTGTTAATGGAATTGAATAAAAATGTATTCAGAATATTACTTAATCTATAAATGGTTCGTCTGCTTTCATTTGTACGAAAGGCATATAAATAAGTAGTGTTTTTCCAAGTAAATAAAAAATAATACAAATTTGTACCTTGGTTTTTCGAAACTTGTTTTCCTACATTAAAAACTAAAACACAATAAAGAGAAAAATATTTTAAAATTTGATATGCTCGCTATCATTTTGAAATGCGTAGGTCAAAATACTCAGATATTTACATTGATCATTTAGGTTTGATATGTGAATAAATTTTCAACAAGATAAGGTCATCATTATATAGCATCTGCTTTCTGGGAAAAATGCGAGGGCGCACATCTTAATGCCCATGGATGAGCTTTTACATTCTTTAAGTTAATTTAAAGGTATTTACTTGTGTAAATATTAATTTTCTCAAAAAAATCATAAAAATTCTTTGACTAAAATGTAGATACTCGGGAATCGGACCAATTAAATTATATTTTAATATGGAAATATACATTATTTAATTCGGAATAACTTACTGTTTCCAGAACTCGACGAACCGCTGCCGCTCGACGAGACCCGAGCTGGCCGACTGGCAGAAGACCATCACCGGCATGCGCCAGTAGAAGGGCAGGCCGCAGATCTTCAGGATGCGCGGCAGCTCGTCCTTGGTCACCTGGTTGTTGGGAAAGCTGTCGAAGGCGGAGAGGATGCCCCGCACCACCCGCTCCATGGCGATATTGGGTTGCGGCTTGCCGTGTGGAAAGTAGAATCTGCCGGGGGCGATAATGCAATGTAATATACACCTTTGGGAAACCACATCAAGGGACTTGAGTCGCGGATCCGCTCACCTGGGTATGTAGACGCTCTTGGTGGAACGTATCTCCTTCTGCAGCAGATTCTGCTCCTGGGGCGGCGGTGGCGGGGTGGCGTGCAGCTTGACCTGCCGACGAATATGAATGCGAAAATTAATTTCACTCACTAATTGTTTACATTCCCTTGTTGTTGCGCCTGCCAAAGCGCCACTCAATAAAATTTGCAATTTATTCTCGAAGAATTTCATTTGTTTACGTTTTAGCGGAAATTTTCTCTCACTTTTCGCCTTAAAAGCCGCAGACAGCCACGCCCCAATCGACGTATATTCGCCCTTTACCTTTGAATTTATTATTAAATGTTTGCCATTCAAATAAACATCAACGGATTTTTGTCTAATTTAAGCGGTGAGTGGAGGAGGCGCAAAAACAAATACTTTTTGTTTAAATTAACTTTTCGCCTTTTGGTAAATAATGGAAACATATTTGGTCCGTGGGATTTTTATGTTGCGAATTTTTGGAATACTAAACAAAGTGAAATGTTTTTATGGAAAAAATGCATAGAATATTTGTATTCAGGGAGGGATAGAAATAGAGGAAGCCAGAAATCATGAGCTATAATTTTCTATTTGGCAGCTGTGAAACAAAAGCAATTGCTTCTATGTGGGTAGGTTAAAGAAACTTGAATAATTTATTTAGCTGTGCTGATCAGTTTAATATAAAAGCGTAGGGAAACAAACTTATAAGTAAATTCGCTTTTTTAATTTTTCCCACCCAGCATTATATGACTTTATTTGGTTTTTATACGTGTGAGGACGTTTCATCGATTATAATCCAAGCACGGGCCCATTCATGATTTTAAAACTGTCAACGGCGACATAAATATTAATCTCCTCACTCGACCACATCGAGAGGCCCCTGCGAAAGAGCAAACAATTCATTGGCATGTGCGCATATTACGTATACGCCCGGCTACACATCGTTTATAGTCAAATATTACGCATACGCATTGTTGCCTAATTTATAGACAAAAAGCAAAGAGCACGAAGAACTCTCGAGGATCGAACGCCAACTACATTCAAATTGTGTCTGCCCCTGCCCAAAAACTTGATTGCAAAAAATAGTTTTTGTTTTCTCATTTGAGGATTATATTTTTAGCCGTTTTGTTTGCTTTGATCAGACGCTTGGTCCGAAGTGAGGAATTTCACAAGCAATCGTAGTAAAGCAAAGTTCAATTGGATTGGAGAGATTTTTGGCTTGGTAAGTCATTCATAAAAAGGAAAATAAAAAAACAGAATATGCCGTGCCCGCCCGCACATGTAATTAAGCAATTAAACAATTCTAAAACAAAAACCCCCAAACCAAAGCAACAATCAGCACCAAAGGCAACAAAACAACAGCAAATTGCATTTCGAAGTGCTCAAAAGTGATGATGATCATGTGCTTGGGTTGTATTGAATTCGGTTTCGTTGTTGTTTGGTTTATTTTTGTTGTTTTGCCTTTGCACGATTGTGCTGATCGTAAATGCTTGATTTGATTGTTTATATACGAAAATATGCACACAAAACTGGGAGCTTGCGATGTGGGTAAGTGAGACCAGTACGAATACCCAGTAGTCCCTGCAGAGAAGGTGAGTAGTCAACAGGTTCTTGAACGACTCTAAGCAAATTCTAATGTGATTTGAATATATTAATCCAGTGCGTTACAGTACTACAATATAAGGAATAGCTCTTGAGATATTATGATTGATAGCATTCAATGCAAACTAATTATTCCCCAAAACTGGTTTTGATTTTTATTATATTACAATTATAAAATTCGATTTTATATTGGTATTAAGTTCTTAAAAAAAGTATATTTTGAATTCTACTAAGTATTGGCTTTAAAGTAATTTCAATTCCAAGAAGAATATAATTTCTGTTTATCATTATTTTTTGCTGATCTATGAACTTTTTGAATTGATTTCAAGTTCCGAGAATAATTTAATTTGTGTTTATCATTATTTTTAGCAGATCTTTAAAAAAATATTCTATAAAAAAACTAATATTATAAGACTAAACTTTACAAAATTAATTAAACTTAAAAAAAAGCGAATATAAATGATGATCCTAAATTTTTTCCAGACCTTCCAAACTTTTCCACCTGCAATTATTTATTTAACTTTTTTTTAAGTTTGCTGGTTAAGACTATGATAATGTTTTCAAGACTCAGTGCTTGGTTGAACCTTTTTAAATCGTACTCTTTCGGTGCCACCGATCTTTCCCCGGCCATTTGGCAAGTGTTTCTCTTGTGGCGTCTTGGGGCAACCTTAAATCAATCAATGATGCAGTATGCAGTGTGCTCGCACCGATAAGAGCAGCCCACGAAAAAAGTCGAAAGAAAACAAATGGGCAATTGCAATTGGTTCGATCGACGGGGAGAGAGGGGTAAGTTTCTTCTTTTTTTTTGCTCATTGTCTTCTGGCATTTTCAACTATTAGATAACACCGCACGAGCACTCGATTTTCGGCCCTCTTCAAAAAAGTGATTTAAGGCGATTTGTTCATAACTCACCTTCATGAGGCTCTTGGGCGGAGGGTCCGTCTGGGGTCGCTTGATGTTGAGGAAGGCGTGCCGCACATCCGGACACTTCTCGAACATGAGAACGCGCTCGGCCACGGAGCCGCGGGTGAGGAGATTCACTGGAAGTAGAGACCGAGACCTGAGTTCTGGAGTTCTGGCGGGGAATCTCAATGAATTGCGAACGTATATTACTTTTATCCTGGCCATTGGTGAGGGCCGCCCGCGCCCCGCTGGTCGGTTTGACTTTATTCAACGTTGGCATCGTTGTGCTGGCCGATGTTGCTGGCGTTGCATCTACTGATGTTGCTGTTGCCGCCGTTGGTGTCGCCGATGTTTCCGATGCTGCTGCTGCTGTCGCCATGTTGCCGGCGTTATCAGTGGCGATTTGGCGACTTGTTGATTTGCGTGAGGCTGCGATGACAGAGGCCACTACTGTGGGCTTTTCTTTGGTTGCCGGCTTCGAATCGGCGCTATTTTCTTTGGTTTTGCTCGACTTGCGACTTGTGGCCGCTGGCTCGCCGTTTTTATCACTCACTGCCATGCTGTTGGCCATTCTCGCCGCCGATGGCCCATCGACGACATCTAGACTAACAGCAATCGATCCGTTCCTTGTGCTGCTATTGGCCTTGCTCTGTTTTTTGGTGGGTTGCTCTGAGGCTGTTAACTTGTTGCTGCTAGCCGAATTGCTCGTATTGCTGGTATTGCTCGCTGTGGCCTTGCTGCTCTGTCGCTTTTTGCCCACTGTGCTGGGGGCATCCTTCTGCTGCTGCTGCTGGATGAGCTCGCTGATCTTGAGCAGGTTCTGGGTTTGCTGCGAGGATAGGTTGTTCACATCCAGATCCAGGCTGATGTCGTAGTTGAGATTCACGTCGGGCAGGGCGGAGGTTTTGATGGCGGCCACCTTTTTAGGGGACTGGAGAGCCTGATCGGGCACAGGATTAAAGCTGGAGGCCACTGATTTCTTCACCTTGCCATTGGAGGTGGCTGTGTTGCTGATGTCGGTGGATTTCTTCAGGCTGTTCGTCTTGCCGCGCTGCTCCTTGTCCTTGTTCACGAAGCTGGTGACCATCTTCTGCAGCCCCTCGGCATCGGCGGTGGGTGAGGTCACATCGGAGAGATCCCCGGAAGCGGCGGCATTTGTGTACATCTGCAGGAGTTCCGGCGGCGGGATGCCCTGGCTCTTCCACGTGTGATAGATGGCATCGGCGTGCTCGTTGATCTTCTTGGTCAGCTCAGCGATCTCGGCATTGGAATCGCTGGCGGTCGATGGGACTGACTGGGTCTTCGGTGACTTGGGACTGGCTCCTCCCGAGCCCGCTGGCTTCCGAGTCGTGGTGGTGGTCTTAATCGCACTGGTCACCGCCACCGAGCTGATCATGTTGCTCCCCGGCCCGCTGCTCAGCTTCTTGGTCTTGGTGGTCGTCGTAGTCGTCGTGGTGCTCGAATTGGCTTGCATTTTGCTGTGGTATCTTGGAAAATGTGTTCTTTTCTCAGTTTTTTGCGACTCTCTCTCTCTGTTTTGGATATTCACATTTTCACTGCTCACATTTTTATTTCAATAATTTATTGAAATCTTAATTGGGTTTCTTATTCAATTTGCTTCCCGGCTTTGCTTGGCACCGCGAGTTTCACATGCGTTTCATTCACTTTTCACATTTTCAGCGCTTTCAACTTTTTCTCCGTAGACTGCGTATGGCGAAATCTATTTATATAAAGGAAAATACCAAAATTTCCTATTTCGTTTATTTCAGACGCCGAAACCGAAACACAACCAAACACACACTCGAAACACAGACGCACCACACGAAAAAGAAAATGAAAATATACGGATACGGATTCGGGACCAGGCATCGCAGCAGCATCAGAACCAGCGGAATATCGAGCAGATACGTAAGACGCGTACACGGCGGGCACAGTGGTCGCAGTACCACTAAAAGCACTCAAAACTAGATGCTCAGCTGCCAAGAGCAATTATCATATCGTGGGCTTAATTAATGGCCTCACACCTTTGGCGCCCGAAACGTGAACGATTATCGTGTCACGCTGAATCATCTCGACATTCCATCTGGTTACGTTTGCGCAAAAACAAACAATTAATCAATTGAATTAATTGAATGAAATTTGACGGGTCAAAAATAACCTATAGCCCACTGTGCATGCGTAAGAAACCGACAGGTGCGGTCAAAATAATAGATCTACCTACTATAGTACTTTATGGACTATTCGAGTGGATAAGGTAGTGTTTTTACAATTATAACAAAAATTATATTAAATTGAGCTTAATTTAACATTTAAAAATCATACTTTATTTTAAATTGAAGAAAAATAAACCATTTTAGTTTAGTTTAAATGTAGTGATTTCTGTTTCTCAAAATAAATGTCGCAAGCATTAATCATTGCTATACAGAACTGACCTACAATCGTATGTACTTATTTGCTTGAAGAATGAGCTGTCGGAATACTTTTCGAAATATTTTGATAAGCCTTTATGTTTTCATCGAATTTCAGTAAATAACAGTAAATAGCAAAAATCAACATTTGGGTAAACAATGTTCCCCACAGTTATTTGATGACGAAAAGCAGTGCAAATTCAATTAGCGTTGCTACTATCTTGACCGCAACTGTCGGTTGTACTATTTCGCCGATTTTACGTGGGGTTGCGATGGGATGGGGATCGAGATGGGATGGTATGGGGGATGAGATGAAACCGGGAGCTGCGTTTGCGACTGCGGCTGCTGCTTCTTCAACTTTGTACTATTTATTCGAAAATAAATTTCGAAGTAGTTGCGGCTCACAGACACACGTGCACGCACACTCGCCCAATGCACTTTACATATGTTTTATATCCCCACGAGTGTGTGCGTGTGTGTTTTTGGTGGGGTGTATAATGTATGACGTACATATAGTTTGATATTTGTCTGCCTTTATTAATGATTTAATTGCATTTAGGCCCGGAGGCGCGCGTGCTGACGACAACGGCGACACCGAGAGATTCCGTCATTAATTAATTTAACCAAGCCAAACCGAAACCGACCAGAGGTTAATCGACATTTTCGCGGCACGACATTTTTACCCTTTCGTTTTTCTTTTCTTTTTTTTTTGCTAGGAAATTGAATTTGCAAATTATTAACGAATCGCAGGAAAACACACGCGGCCGCGGGATATTTTGGAAAACTCTGGCAAGCTTCCGCTTGGCGAGTCTAAAATTAACAGCAAACAGAGCAGAATTCACAGATCAGAAACCGAAAACAGAAATCGGAAAACAGTCGAATGTATATCCGAGCGAATAGCGGTGCACGCGATGCTGCTAAGGTCCGTGTTGTTACTGTAAATCTGCGGCCGCTGAAAATAACATCAGCCTCCGCCGTTCTGCGAGAGCCAACGGAGCGGATGAGCGAGATCGAGAGTGCGCGGTGATCTCAGCTGTTGCTGCTGCTGCTGCCGTGCTGCTTCTATTGCTGCTGCAACTACGCTAATGACACTCGCAGCCCCCAAGAACGAGCGCTTCCACACACTCGCGTCGCGACCTGCGATCGTATCAGAGGTGATACAATCGACGAAAAGTAAGACTATGACAAATCAAGTTGAATTTACAAAAACTAATATAAAAGGTAGGGTGGTGCCCTTCAGTGACAAAGGATAACTTGAAGAGGGAGGAGCAAAGAAGATCCTTCCAATGCTAAGAAACTTTAATGGATAAAAAGTTTATATATTTCTACAATTTATAATTTAATTGTTTGATTTTTTGCATAATCCTTGCTTACAAAAATATTTTATTTTGTATTTATAAACAACGAATTTTATATGATTTAAATTATTTTTTATTTATTTTGTATTATTTTTACGAATATTTCAAAAGCCCCCACAGTAAATTACTAGAATGCCAATATTAAAAAAAAAATTCTAAAGCTTGGTTTAAAAATTCTAACAAATTAATAAAGAAATGTAAATATATTACACGTACACGTATTCGTAATTAAATATATTTTTAGATTTAATTTTCCTTTTTAAAATGACTTTAAATAGCCATAAACAAGCTAAAATATCAACTCAATCGCAGCGAGAGAGAGAAAGAGCGGCGCCCGAAAAGATCATTACTTTGGCGTTCTTTGAGCAGCTGCTCCACCGACAATGCGCTCTCACTTACCTCACTACCCCCACACGACGGCGCTGCAGCAGCGACGCCGGCAGAACACTTGCCGTCGTTTACCCACTCACACACACACTCGCTCACACTGGCGAGCGCCAATCCATTGTCGAACATAAAAAATACAAAAATCAAATCATAGGTGTTTGTTAATTATACACTGTGCCCTGGAGGCAGGGTGTCACGGTTCGTTTAAGAGGTTAAAAAAGTCACGTTAATACTATGCCAATAAAAAATGTTATTAACGGTATACAACTTTCAAATGTAAGGATATTTGAGTAGGAAAATAATACATTATTTATGAAGTACTTACCTTTATATCCTAAGTTTTAAGTCTAGAGTTTTTAGTTTTTAACTTTAACCAAACAATATCTAAATAAATAAATAAATAAGTCTAGTTTTTGTTCTAGTAATATAACCTTTACTGTTTGAATCTAAAGTTTTATTTAATAAATACATATTAACAACGGTACTTGTCTTTTGAAAAAAAAAACAGCATACTTAAAGGCGAGATACCTTTAAAACAGCGGTCGGCAGCGCCCTATTAAGTGAGCATAGGGGTTTGTTCTGCCGACGCGCTGCTCGCACATGTATAACGTAAAACAGCGGTCTGCACACACACATCGATGAGCTGCCCAGTGAAACCCAGCGGGAACATTCCTCTGGAAAATAACATATTTTCAAGAGGTTTCTCCATACAAGCGGAAGGGACAAAACCTCATTCACCCCTTACATTTCTTCCGTCTCTGGTTTCAAAATACACGGGGGTGACACAAAAAGTAAGGGGGAAATGAGGTTTCTATGTGGTTTTCCTAGGGAATTTACATTTTCCCTACACCGTCGCCTGCTGAAAGAAACAGGATTTCCAACACTTTCTGCTAAAAGGAACAGGATTTTCAGCACACAAAGAACCACCTTCTCACTTTCCCGGTGGGAAATTACTCACACAAATATAAAACAAAATGTCAACGTATGTGTGTGCCGACCGCTGCTTTAAAACTAATAAAAATCATTTTTAATGGATTTGGTCTTTTTTATCCATAATTCGTAACTTACAGAGCATTCAAAGTTCCATCCAACCTTTGATATTCTTCTCCAGTTTCAAATTTGTCTGCCTCATTGAGCAGGAAAAAAACAACAACAAAAACGACTACGGATCGAAGCATTTATCTCGCTTATTTGCTAATGCTAAATGATTGTCTTCTTCTTTGCCTTCGCCTTCGGCTGCCTTCTTCCTCCTCACATCGCAATGTTTGTTGCAGTTAGCTGTCTTTATGTCTTCATTGTTGCTGTACCCATTTTGTTTCTTGGCTTTTTATGTTTTGGCCATTTAGCAGGTGGGCGGGTGACTTTTGTTTGTTTAAAGCAGCCCGAAAATGTTGAATAAATTGAAATGCGATTCATGTTTTAGTTTATACAGCGATATTTTTTATACATTTTAATGTGTGCAGATATATACATAGAAGTATATGTAGGTACAAAAGTAAATACGTAAATATCAGAACCGCAAGTGCGGCTAACGATGACGCCGATAATGATCATAACGATAATGCCGATCCGAGCAGAGCTTCCGGTTTTGCGCTTTGGTATGTTTGCACGCTTTTTTCGCAGGCTAACTTCATTGTAAATATTTATTACCAGCTTTTGTTGTTCTTTCTATTATTTTGCGGTGTGTAATTGATTTAAACCGAAAGATCTGCCAGACCCAACATGTGTCGACTGTCACACCGAGTGACAGTTATTTCGGTTTAGTTCCATATTAGGGTTAGGCATCAGGCATTAAGCGTGACATCCCATCTGGATTAGCCAAAAAACTTGACCCAATTCAAGCGAACGTGTTGAGCGAGCGCACAAAGGCGAACAAAAGGCTTTTAAGCCAAAGTTGAATTGACAAAATAAAATCCAAACTGCCCACACAAACAGCACACATGTGCGGAAAATTCAATGGAGGTGCGAATAGATCAATTGCCATAGCTAAATCCATAATCAGCTTAGCGCTTGGGAAGGGTGAATACATTTTTGGTAATTTAAAGAGATTATTTAATGGTTCCTGACAGTCGGGGTTCCTCTATTAATTCCTCCATCATCCGCGCACACGCTGCGTATACTTGATTGCGCATACGCACTGGTGTCTGCATCTTGGCTTTTCTATATTATTTTTTCATATTTTCCCATCGCTTGCTTGACCATTATTTCCACACCCCCTTTCAGCACAATGTCAGGCCAAAACTAAAGCTCGGCCAGAACCCTTCTTGGAAGCCTTTGAAATGTCTTTAACTATTGACATTGGCCCATTGCGATGTGCACTCGCTTTTGTTATGGCTATTATGATTATAAGCCGTCGACACTTTTCACTGCACATTTTGCATATATTTTTAGCCTTGGCTAATTGAATTTGAAGAGCAAAAAGTTCTAACAGTTCGGGAAAAACTATAAAAGCCAGGTCGCCAAAGGTAAGCAATGCAGGTTTCCAATGACCAATCGCCGCGAATAGTCCGCCCCAGTGAAATATTCAGAAACCAGAAGTCCTTTATGTAAAAAGTGTTAGAAATATTGCTAGTGAATTTGCAGCTTTTTATGTAAACAGTGTGATATATAGGCGGGATATAGTGACGCAGCCAGTAAACAAAACACAATGGAGAGGTACGATCACGAGGAGATAAATAGATCCAGAGATCTATTCGGAATTATAAACACGAGGGTGCCCAAAAATTAAAAAGATGTTTAAAAGAATGCAACAAAATAATGAGAATTCTCTCTTTCCTTTGCATACTTTTAGGCTCATTAAAAAGAGTTTTCAAAACTTTCGTGAATTCTTTAGCACCCCTTACTATTTTCTCAATTATAATACTTTAATTTTAATTTGCTGTTGCAGCTTTGCAGTAGCAGCCGCGCAACTGGGGCCGCACTTTGCCCCCCTGTCCAATGGATCGGTGGTGGACAAGGTAACGCCCGACATGGCCCACCTGATTAGTCCGTACTGGAACCAGTTCCCCGCGATGGACCCCATCTGGGCCAAGATCCTGACCGCCTACATGATCATGATCGGCATGATTTCCTGGTGCGGAAATGGCGTGGTGATCTACATATTCGCCACCACCAAGTCGTTGCGCACGCCCGCAAACCTGCTGGTCATTAACCTGGCCATCTCCGACTTTGGCATCATGATCACCAACACCCCCATGATGGGTATCAATCTGTACTTCGAGACCTGGGTGCTCGGCCCGATGATGTGCGACATCTACGCCGGACTGGGCTCGGCCTTCGGCTGCAGCTCCATCTGGTCCATGTGCATGATCTCGCTGGATCGCTACCAAGTGATCGTCAAGGGCATGGCCGGCCGGCCGATGACCATTCCGTTGGCCCTGGGCAAGATAGCCTACATCTGGTTCATGTCGAGCATTTGGTGCCTGGCACCCGCCTTCGGCTGGAGCAGGTGAGTCCTTCAACTGGAGAATCTTTGATAAATATATATATTTGTACTTGTTTAGTTACATAATTGGGTTCTTGTAAACTTGAAAGTTTTGATAAGATCAAAGAGTTGGAAAATATCATTTTCCTGTTTTAGGAAACTAGAAAAGTAGACAAGAGAGAACGCTATAGTCGGGTGCCCCGACTATCAGATACCCGTTACTCAGCTAAAGGAAGTGCGAAAGAGATGGAGAAAAACTTTGATCCGCCGCAACTTTTTAACGAATGGTCCGATTTAAAAAATTTCTTCTACATTTCGATAGGTATTGATAAACACAATAAAACTGCATTTTTACTTTTCCAAAATATTGAAATTTTTAAAATCGTATGTAAGCGATTGTGGGCGTTAGAGGGGGCGTGGCACCCTTTTGAAACAAACTTGCGCTGCGTAGGAACTCCTAGAATCTGCATGCAAAATGTCAATCTTCTAGCTTTTATAGTTTCCGAGATCTCAGCGTTCATACAGACAGACAGACAGACAGACAGACAGACAGACAGACAGACGGACAGACAGACGGACAGACGGACATGGCTAGATCGACTCGGCTAGTGATCCCGATCAAGAATATATATAGTTTATAGGGTCGGAAACGCTTCCTTCTACCTGTTACATACTTTTGCACGAATCTAATATACCCTTTTACTCTACGAGTAACGGGTATAAAAAGAAAATGTCCAAACTAACTTAATTAAATGTATAAAACCCATACATAGTTAAATAGGTTGCAGTTCCTTAACAATTTCAAATTTGTTTGTGTTTAACACTTGAAAAATTTTATATTTTTATATAGGTACAACTTGGAAAATGTACAAATTCATTT